TCTTTTAATAACTTTCGACTATGATTTATTCCAAAGTTACCGGAAAGCAACAATAAAAGTGTTTTAATACTTTTTAATAGATAATGTTATCATTTAAGTAGCAGTTAAGAAAGTTAGTTCATGTCCCTGAGAATTAGGAACCATACGATAATTTGTCTTCATATTTTCTTCGAGTAGAGGTCGCCACTGTTGATTTTGGATTACCCGACCCTCTGTGTTATTGACAATGAGTAAAGGACAGTATGAATTAAAAAAATATAGCACAAAGGTGTGGTTTCCGTTTTCCCAATTTTATTTTTCCATGCTCGGCGTTTCACATTGACGTAAGTACCGTGAAGACTATAAAAACGAAACAAAAATATTTTAATTGTGACTTTGACCTTATCTAAAATTTACTAATATTCAAGATTAATTAATTCTGCACGTTATAATGTAAATTAGAATCCGAATCGAATAAAAACTAAGACAGAATTTAGAATTAGCATACCTATTTAGTACTTAACCCATTTGGGCCTGCCGTCCCCATATGGGGACAGGTTTTCTTTTACCCGCTGGTTATTAATTATTTTAGCTATCTTCACATTTCATGGGTATTTACAATGAGGAGTAGTGTACTTTCCTAAAATTATTAGAACTTTTGACAAATTGCTACAAAAAAGGGGTCATATTGTCAATTTTATCAAGAGGAAGTGAAATGGGAATTATTATTGAAAGCAGAGGCGTTTTGCAGTACGTTATTATGAAGATTTATAAAACTTTTTTGTGATTATTGCTTGTTTATAGTGTCAATTAAAACAATATTGAAGAATATCCTTATACTTTCAATTCCGCTTAGGGGAAAGTTAGAAAAAATGATGGTGTCCCCGTATGGGGACAATGGGCACATCTGTAGTATATTTTTAAAAGATTTATACCTGATTTGTATTTTGTTTTCCAATTTATAAAGGTCACCTATAGGCTAAACTTAGTTATAGCTAATACTTGGTGACAGCAGACGCTAATTCACGAAGAGCATCACCAATTCCGCCATATCTTTACGCGTTCATATTCTAAAATCTGATGGGCATCAAGACCGAAGATGCAAATGTCCACCTACAGTACCAGGCGTCGCATCCGATATCAGAATTCAGCAGTAGGGGGCATTTCCTCCAGCTGTATTCTGGTGTCGTCACAGCGAAGTCCACCCAGAGGATAGAGTAGCATTATGCCCTGTATACGTTGACCACCGCCGTATCTTCAGGGAAGTGATCGACGACGATAATCTTCCACGTCCAGCTTAGGTTCTGGCTGTGGTGCGGATCGAGGGGAACTGGAAAACATCTCTTTCTGCGAAGCAGTCATAGTAGCAAGAACAGATCGCCGCCCAGAACCAGACCTGTACCTGTAAGGTGCGTGGCGTTACGCGCGTGCTTCAAAGTGCAGATCAGACCGCCTTAGATCGAGATGGTCCAGTGGGACAGATGCCCGACTACTATGAATAACCTAGTGGGTCACCGGGGCTTCGGCTTGAAGCAGAATTAGGAACGTGTTGGTTTTTAGCCAGTAAGAGTCCCCCAGGCGGAAAACTCAATGCATGATTTTTACCCTCAAAAAAAATATAGGCGCGTCACATCAAATTGATTTAGACATTTTCCGCAGAGATTTAGTTAATATCTGTTACGATACGCAGTTCATCATAAAAAAACTGTGATATCAATGCAAATAATTCGTTAGAACCTTATGTGTCGAAAACAGTTACTACTTCGAAAAGTACTACACATGAGACCGTTGTCCCCAATCAAGGACGGCATTTTTTTTAATACTTCTAAAAATATTTTTTGTTTTTTTTTTGCTGATATTAGTTTGTTTGCGTCATATCATTGAGTTAATAAAGTTTTTTTTATTAAATTATGTGTAGTTTGCATTTGGTCCCAAATGGGTTAATAATAAATTCTAGAATCGAAGTGTGAGTCATCTGAGGATAACGGATACAAAATAGTGGGCGATAGCATAGGCATTTAGTGTTTATATGTACCTACCATTACCTATACCAATATTCTGCAAACAGATAAGTAGTTTATAATTACAATAATATCACCACGCCTTACTATTCTCGAAGAGGTAGGTAGAGGTACTTCGGAACGGGCCTGTCGTGAAGAGTTGCCAAAAAATGGGAGATTCATGCCCTCGCTTTCACCAAACTCTCTTGAATTTTAAAAAAGCTAAGATAGGTGATATTAATTGATATTTTGGTTTATTAAGTCTTTAGCTGCTGATAAAAACTGTTAAAGGGTTAATCCTCCGCTAGCGTCGGACATTAGACATCATTGTCCGACACGGCATCCAATGTGTAATCCAATTTATAGGTATGTGACACCTAACAGTATAGGTAAGGGGTTAGTTTAGGTGATACGTCATCCTAAGTTACTCTTAGTTAATGTATGGCGTAGGAGTGGGTGTCAAAACGATCATCAGAGCTCTAACAATATTCTGTACTACCCGGGGATTAAAACCTGTCATATCACCAACCTCATAGTTACTTCTTAACAACGAAGTTAACTTAGCTAATGTATGTAGGTATGTATTCTATCAACTATATTTTACGTTAGGTAAAACTTCTGAGTACCAAGCTGTACTCTACCATATTCGGTACAGTGACCTTTTGAGTAATTTCATTCAATCATTCGGTCAGAAATGAATGGTCGTTGGTCACTCCAAATCGAGAAATGGTGCTTACAATGGATGTTTGCAATAATATATGGCTACTGTCGAAACTTCGTGAGTTATGGTGTTGTTAACCTAGCCGTAGATGGATCGTGACCTAAAAGGTGATCCTGGCTGAACCACGTGTGAAATAGATTATGCATAGATATACAAAGGGTAGTGGAACAAAATGTAACTGCTTCAAAAAGAATGAAGAGGAGTGGCGGTTTCTAATTTTGACGAAGACTGATTATGGTCGTTCATCCATTCCTATCATTTAACACCCAGTAGATAGGTTTCAATATGTTAAAGCACCCTCTCTAAATAAAGTATATCCGTGCGGATCGTCACGCACAAGGAATTATTTCCCAGAAAACGGAAATACCACCACAGACGCCCACATAATTTCACAATTTTCACGGAAATCAATTAATTTAGAATGTTTTACCGACGAAACCAACTGTTTCCGAAATTAAGAATTCCCCATAGAGGGCTGACCGCGATCGTTATTTAGGATGAACGCTTACGACCAGAATAGACGAAAATTTTAGATATGGGAACATCCGAAACGGAAGACGAAGATAAAACAGTTATAGAACAAGACGAACTAATTCCTATTCGAGATTAACACGAGGGAGAAACACGAACCACTTAAAGACGTAACAAACTGAAAGCAATAATTGAATATTTCACTAAGTGCTGAAACATCTCAGACTACTTATCCTAGTCCAAGGCAATTCTACTAACTTTATTACATGTAAATGTGGATCGTACATTCTTGAAGCATTATTATTTACATCAACAATACTCTATTTGAAATTTATTGCGTAGGAACTAAATATGGAAGTGTGAGGAAGTAAGAGCCTACAATCATCCGTGCTATCCACCCGGAAACGAGTAGCGTGAAGATATGCTCTCCACTTGAAAACCAGTTGCGCGCAAAATAGCATTAGTTATCTACTGCAACAAAAGAAATAGTCCAACAACAATATGTATGTAATTAATTGTACACAAAAGAAATCGGCAACGGATACTTTCAATTGGCGTAACAAGTAGAAAATTACCTGTAGGCCATAAAAAGCAAGGAGAAATTTATTAGACACATGATTTGAATATGACATTAACATTTTATTATATTTATAATTGGTTATAGCAACATAATAGTGTACATTAAAAATATTACACGTATGTCAAGCGCGTACCACCGCTACTCTTATGGCGCTGGGTCTTACGTTTAAGGCATGGAAACACGCATAAGGAATAAATATTGCGAAAGTCCAGTTACTGGCGACTCGCTACGCTCGGATTCTAGACAATTTATACGTCTAATTCACCATGTTTTAACTAGAAATACATGGGGATACAATCGACCAATAGTAAGCAACGTTATTAACAAAAATAGAACTAAGTTTTTTCAAGAAAAACATACCTTATGAAGCGTCCTTCCTCATAATCGGGTTTATAAATCCATTCACAATACGAAACAAAAACCACTCGAACACTTTGCGAACACAAAAATAATACGAAACTTAGGGCCTCTCACGTAGTAACATATGGCGCAACGTAAAACACAGACACACACATCCTTTTGCGTACGTTTTTGGGAAACAATAAAAAACTTGCACAATATTTGAACAGATGGGATATTTATTTTGGTTTGACGCGCGACGTAAGATCGTGGGCCACGTTACCACGCCGCACCGCCGTCCGCGCGGAGGGAATCTCGCCACTGACTCGGAACACCGCGTTTGTTTGGCTGAACTTCGCCTTCCCTTTCTAATAAGTATTTGACTGCAGCTCCACCTAGCGTGTAGTGGGCGAACCAAGTATGCTACCACCGTAGTAGCGACATGGTTCGAGCAGATACTCCGCACGACTGGTTTTTAGTGAAGTGAGCAGTTTTGTATAGATGTCATTCAATAAACAATAGGTACACGCAAGACAAGAGTCATAACTTAAAAAGCGAAAACATTAACGAGTGAGTGTGGTCGACTAAGAAATAAAACATTTTATTTATGATTGTATTTTTACAGGTTTCCCCAAGGAATTACACTGGGACCAACGCTATTGGATCTCACGAAAAATTAATACTAGGTCTTTAGGTACCTCTATGAAATTGCCATTTTGCAGTAGGTACTGGCCATTTCAAATCCAAATAATTTGTGTTTGGCTACGAATTCGAATTTCGAATTACTTAATTTTATTATAAAAACATGGATTTTTTTAAAAGTACCTCATCATTTCTTTATTTATTAGTATATTTTCATCGCATTTCAATCGTTTTCGTCATCACGAATACGTTAAAAATTCGAGTAATTATGGAATACGAGTACCGTAGTGGCAGCAACGCGGCACATGAACACGCAACATCAACGACGTTTACGGAGTACAGTAACACTACAAACCAACGCACCACCTGTTATTGGTTTACTCGCTCCCGTTCTGGAAATATCGACCTGAAAAATGAACCTCGCGGTCGTCCGAAGAATTTGGTCGACAATGACGAATTAAAAGCGATTGTGGAAGCTGATGATACACAATCTACGGCTAAATTAGCAGCAGCTTTCGACTTTAGCGTCAAAACAATATTGTCCATTTGCGTCAAATTGGCAAGGTAAAAAAGCTTAACCAATTGGTGCCCCACGAACTCAATCATCGCCAGTGCGAAGTACGCGCCGATACGCGCCGAGACGTGCCTTGCACTACTCAACAGACACACAAATAAAGAAATTATTCCATTAATTTTTAACTTTACTCCAGATGTGTACTGTGAAGAACTGAACACAATGATGGAGAACGTGACATTGGCAAACCGAGCGACGACGCATTAACGCGCGACCTCATACTGCCTAGCAGACAGAACTGGGGTTGGAAGCTCTCCGTCATCCTCTATTCGCCAGACCTTGACCCTACAGACTTCTACTTATTTCAGAATTTGGATAACTTCTTGGCGGAAAAAAATTTCAATACCTGAGAGGCAGTACTTAATCTTTGAAGAATTTGTTGCCTCCAGTCCAGCTGATTTCTTTAAGAAAAGCATCAATAGACTGCCCCTACGTCGGTAAAGATGCATTGATTGCATGGATACAAAATGGCAACAAAAATAAAAAATACATGAAAAAAGGTAGGTACAGGCTTTACCTCACTCCTATTTGCCGTTTTGTATTGCCAGCCTTGTTTATATGTTCTGTGGCCATAACCAAGATGTAAATGTAGGTAGGTACCTACACAGAACAAATAAAATTGGTCCTGTAGGTACTCTTTTTAAAGTTCAGCGAGAATTATTTTGCTAAACTTTTAACACAAATAGCACGTTTTTATAATAACTATCGCGAGACATACTATATTAACTAAAATCGCTGGTTACTCACGTGAAGCACGTCTCCGTCTTGAAAGGCTACGCAGGATTGAAGCTTATGAATATTGATTTTTCGATAAACGTAAGGAACGACTGGTTCACGTTTAAAGGCCCCGTAACAATCAGGGATGATGATTAACGAGATGATAGTTTTTTGGGGAGAAACACTGAACAAAGACAGGCCCAGCGGCCGGCTCCATGCCGTTACTACTAATTTCAATATTTGATAGGTACGAATTAGACGATCGATGCGTTTTCAGCTCGAGTTATGGGCTTGGTAAACAGAGGACGCACTTGCGAAGAAATAATGCTCTTTTTTTTTAAGGGGGGAAAATCATCGAATGACTGCTCCCGCCTGGGTGAGGCGGAAGGGATGCTCTACAGTTGCTTTGGAGGGATTAGAGGAGCGAAAAGAAACCAGTTAAAGAATCCCAAGCAAAACGGTAAATAACGTAACCACTTTTTTCAATAGTATTAAAGTGTAATACTAGGCAGTATGTAAAGTAGGTTTAAAAAAAAAACAATTATATAAATTGGTAAAATTCCTAGTTTATTTAAAAAATCAATATTTCCGTGATTTACACTTATTATCCTATCATAACTTTACATGAAAGTTGTGTCTCTGTTTGTTCAGCAACCACTTTAATCAGGTTGCTATTGGAAATAACATTTTTAGGCTGGTAACCCGCTGTGATCCATGCATCAAGAATCTCAGTACTTGGCAACATCGTTCGTAGTGTGTTCCTAATATAAATGTACGCTTGTGGGGAGTATTTGTAGATACTTAGAGCGAAGTTTTTCAAGTCTTCTGTCTGTCGCATGGGCATAGCTAAGACCAGCCCTGTTGTATCCTCCTTGATTTTATCCTGTAATGACAGGAGGATCCTGCATTTTTTCTTGCGTTTCTGGTTCAAAACCTTCTTCTTCATCTCTATTATCTCCTTTATTCTCTTCAGAAATCTATTCTGTCTGTTATGTACTTTCATGTTGTATTTCAGTTTGTCTTTTAGGCCTACAGCCTGTCTCTGAAGCCTTTGTACTTCAGAGAATAGTTTGAGCAGCTCAATGCTATCTAGTTCTTTCTGAGGTATGTTTAGATCTAAGGAAGTATTGTTGGCTTTCTCGTCGTCCTCATCAGTAGACATGTAATCTTCTTCTTCATTGTCTAATGTTTCCTCATCTATATATTCAACCTGATAAAAACATTATTGTTAGATTCAATATACCACTAATGTAATTGATAAAGAAACTACTCCTTTTATTTGCTTAAAAGATTAGAGAATTTTTGCACTATATCATAAAGAAGGTTAAAAACTAGACATACCTATAAAATCTTGTTTATATTAGGGGAAAGACTGTTTCATCTTCTATTTCTTGAATATACTGTGGTATAGTTTTGACACAATAGTACAAAACTCTTGTTTAAGTTGGTAAGTATAAAATTATTGAATATCGGGAGATGCAACAAATCTAACTCACACTTAACGGTGAAAATATAGGTAATAACCAGAAAACTCACCTCTAAAACATGTCTAGGTAACTTAAGAGACGGAACAGCTTTATCCACTAACACCATCTGATCATTCTCATCACACTTGAAGCAGTCGATGGAGAAGTGTTGCATACAAATATATGAGTAGTCCGTTGGAGTCCAGTTGTTCCGACCCGTCAGGTCTGTCCATATCTGTCTTAGGTTTGCATCCTCTGGAAACCTGTATAAAGACAAAGATTATTAAATGCTGCATGGTAGATATTATTTTCTTATTGTATGATTGTGTAACAATACCAAAGTAGCACATATGGTTCTTTTTAATTTGGACTACTAAACAGTTAAAAGTACCATGAAGTCTTATATCATTTACAGTTTTTTCAAAGAAAGCAAGAATGTTATACATATTAATAGATTTGATATTTTATGAAAAGGTAGGAAGAGGTCCTTATCATCACTTTACAAGTCCCGCACAATGAAAGACTAGCATATTATTAAAATACTATTTAGTTTTACCTAAAAAAAGACTCAGCATCCAAATTCTTGAAGTCTTCACATCCCAACACAGCACAGGCTTTAGTTATTTCTGTGTCAGCATCCGCATTCTGTTTCAGTTCTGGTGCCACCATAGCTGTGAAAGAAGTCAACGAAATATTTTATATTCTAATACCATATCAATCACCAGTAGCAGAAGGCCAATGATTTTCAGTTCAGATGTACATCAACAATTAGTTTAACTCGTCGAGTACCGGTTTTATAGACACAATTAAAGAACAATAGGTCGCGGTCACCGGTGACCGCTTGGTGTTTGACAGTTTAAAAGGACTGTTTGCTTGAAAAACATGATAAGAAGTAATTTTCAAGATTTGAATGTGTAGAAAACAATATGAGTCTATCCATGTTACTTTTGTTATTACATTATAGCTATCTTTAACTTTCTGCCATATAATGACACAGAAAGTCATATTACAAATTTTATAATTACACTGATAAATACTTCTTTTGAATTTCAAATTTAGTTATTTACTTTCATAATACTCACCAATAGGCGTAGACTTTGCTTTATTATCGCCGTGCTCCGTTGTATTCTCCTTCATTTTATAAGTTTGAGTTGTATTCATCTTTTTAAAACAAGTTTAGCTGAAAAAACAAGACCGTTTTATTTGCAATTCGTTTAGAAAAACAAATTAACTAGTAAATACTAAATATGGGATTTTTTTCACAAGAAGCCTGCAAGATAGGAGTACAATCAACACCAAGTAGATCACAATACATAGTTACTGTAAACTTACTTTATTAGTTGGCCCTTTACACAACTAATAAGTCGGAATGGCCGGCAGCGAAAAACCTTAACAAAATAGGTTAATCGCTTTTTTATTTACACTATATTAACATTTTGCTGACACAACTTATTAACAACGAAAACAACAAAAGTGTTTATTTTGAATAACATAAGCTTAAATTATTTGTAACTTGTAATAGCGTTCTTTGTAAGTTTTTATGGTTTTTAAAATACGCTTTCATTGAAAAATTGTGGCAATGAATGATTGAATGACATAAACAATGAAATTGTTTCGTTCATTATCTCATATCAGCGTATCAGTCCTAAATTCATTCAAATTTGAACGATTTTTAAATTACGGAAATAAATAGTCATGCGCCTGTCAACAATAAAACACACAATTTACGGTTTTCTTTGATATTGACTATTTAATGATTATTTTCTATCTATTAAAGTGGCAAAGCGTATAAGAGAGAACAAGTTCTCTAAGTGTAATATTTCATTTATAATTAATTTATAATTTCATAAATCAAATTATTTTTCTACCATAGACTAGCTCAGAAATATAGACCAGTCGCCTAGTGAGTGATATGATATGACTTCTTGACTGATGTTTCTTGTTTGTCTTGTCACTTTTTCTAAAATACGTAATTTTTGGGGAGACCTTTGTTGCTATCAATTGATGTTATTGCAAGTGCATCTAAAAAATGGTTGATCCAATATTCGATTATCAATTTAGGCTTATTCTTATTGGAGACAGCACAGTGGGAAAAAGTTCTTTGTTGAAATATTTTACAGATGGGAAATTTGCTGAGGTAAGTACATACAATCGCCTTTGTTTTGATGTTATTTATACGATTTGTGTTGTAAATTGCGCGTTAAATTTTAGCTGTCTGACCCTACGGTTGGTGTGGATTTCTTCGCAAGGATCATAGAAGTGCAAGATGGGACGAGAATTAAGCTGCAGTTATGGGATACGGCGGGCCAAGAGAGGTTTAGATCTATAACAAAGTCGTACTATAGGAACTCGGTTGGTGCGTTACTAGTGTATGATGTGTGTAACAGATCTAGTTTTGAGCATATACCTCTGTGGATGATGGAGGCGAAGAGACACATAGAGCCTCACCGGCCAGTGTTTGCACTGGTGGGCTGTAAGGTGGACCTGGTGGGCACAGATAACAAAAACGGTGCAAGAAGGGAAGTCACTTGTGAAGAAGCTCGAATGTTTGCAGAAGAGAATGGTGAGTTGCTAAACTGTTTCACAATATGCATTTTATTTTTGTGCCAGTATTTTATCTATCACTGTTTCAATGTAGGTCAATATAGCTATGTTTTACTATTTTTATCTCAAAATATTATTTTACAAACAGGTGTTAGTAGATACTAACATAATTGAATAAGTTAACTACAACATTCAATTTTTGTTCAGTTCTTTCTTTAACATACAAAAGACCATTTTTTTTTATTCCATGCATAATAAAGTTCTTTGTACTTTTTTTATTGGATAAGAAAGGTCAACATTCTGCCAGTGCCAGGAAATGTTTCATTAATGTAAATTCCAGTGCTTTATGTGATAAAAGAATCATAATTGATTTAACATTGTATTTTTAGTATATTTTCAAGTAATAAATTTGTACTAACATCCAAGTGTAGAATTTTTTTAATCAGTTGGATTAAAACAAAACCACTGACCTTCATGTTTGTCATAATATTTACTGAATAATAAATTAATTGTCTTTTGTTTTTAGGTCTACATCATGTAGAAACATCAGCAAAAACAGGTCTGAATGTAGAAGAAGCATTTGTTCTAGTCGCTCAAGAAGTATACAACCGCATTCAAACCGGAGAATACAAAGTAGAGGATGGGTGGGACGGAATCAAGACTGGTTTCAACCGTCCCAATGGCATGGACTTCAACCTTCTTGAAGCTGAAACGGTACAGTCCACATGTTGCTAGAAAAAGACGAAAGTGTATATATTTGACTCACAATAGTTTAGTAAATATACAATGAGTAAGCATAATTTTATATGTATTGTGTAGATATGGTGTGGCGACTGCTGTATAAACATTTTGGTTTAATTTATATTTTGAACCTTAAGTTATAAATATTCATTTTTTGTTTTATTGATGGTCTTAGCCACATTCTATTGAAAGGAGTTTGTATAACAATGGAAGAGATAAAAAAAGTTTTTCTGTACCATAGATATTGGTATTCCATAAATGAATTTCAAATGTGTTGTAACATTTTTTTTGTTCATTAGTTTTTTTTTAAGAATGACCATCATAGGTTCTATTGATAATATTGAAGTAACTACTATTTAAATGTGGTATAGTTAATTGTAATGTTACTAACTGAGATAAAATTATGGCATCTTTAAACAAAATACTAACATTATTATAAATAAAAAACTAGAATACTTTTAGAATTCATAAAAAAATATTAAGTACAGATCAGAAAACTGCTTTGAAAAATTATTTTTTATGCTGTTTTAATCTAGACTCGTTAATTTTGCTATTTTATGTCTTTTCAATATAAATATATTCATATATAATAAATACACAACATAAGCAGTACATAACTAAAACCTTAAAGTATATTTTCCATAGACATATATACTTAAGTAGATTACATCAGTTTTATTTTCTACAATAGTATTCTACTATACCTGTTATAGTTATAATAACATTTTACACAAACAATATTTAATATAATCTATAAATCTAAATCACAATATTATTAAACTAAAAATCTATAGTACAGCATAAATAACCTTTTAATAATTCCTGTTAACACAAGGAAGATTTGTTGAATTGTACATCTGTAATGCATTAAAAAAAATACAATATTATGTACTACTACAATATTATGCTCAAAGGAAAAGATAACAAATTCTAAATTTAACATTTGTACTACAAAAATGTATCATTTGCATTTTAAATATGCAGGTAAACAGGTTTGTAACTGTTGAGGAATTTAATTCATTTCGGTTGATTTGTAAAGCTATAAATATTCAGATCACAATAAAAGTGAGAGTATTTGCAAGCACTGGTCACTATAGTCAGAATTTTAATTAGATTCCAGATTTGACATTGGCTACTGTCATTTTGTGAAATAATGATACCACATATAATAGTCTAGTGATGAACACAAAAATCGATAAACAATCAATGTGTGTGTTTTATATTAAATGTTACAGAAAGTGACTGCGATAGCGATAGCGATGACGGCGACAATGTATAAAATAACTTATTACCATAATACATCTTTTTGTTTTATTTGTCATGTTCTTTCATGGTTACATTTTTTTATTTATTTCACACACAATTATAAAAGAAGAGTCTCAGATCGTTAATTAACCGTCAAAACTAAATTATCGATCAGAAATATTTAATTTCCTGATAAACTTAGTTTACCAAAGTAAAATTATAAACGAGAAGAATCGATCCAGAAATATTTCATTTCCATATCGAATAATTTCGCAACGTCACTATTTAGTACTTGTCATAACGTGACAACACTGAAATTGTCAAATCTGGAATCGAATTAAAATTCCGAGTATAGACAGAAAGTTTTGTGACCTAGTTTCAAAAAGTAATAAAAAATCTAGACTTATTTTGAGTACTTGGCAATGCAATGTTTTATAAAAATACCTTTTTTTTAAAGAAATAATGCCCCACACTAATATTTCGCTCCTGTATCGTGGGTGCGTTTACAAACATATAAGTTGACATACACATGACATCCAGGCCCGAAACAACAATTTGTGTATCACACAAAGTGCTCTTCCGTGCGGGAATCGGCCACGGCAGCCGGTTGCCCAGCCACCGCACCAACCGTGTCTATCTATATTTATATGTTGAGAAATCCATTTATTTACATTTTAAAAAGAACTATAACTGATGAATTGTTTAGTCTATGTAAATATTGTAAAAAAAATATATGCCCATAAAGTATATTTAAGATCCAAATGCCACAAATATGTTCAATGCCAGGGTTGCTAATTATGTTATTTGTTTACATACGTGTTTAAATTACCTTGAACATAACAGAGTTAATATATCAAGCATTTTCGGAAACTGGTTGATTGGATTAGCAAACAAAAATAGGTGGTGGAAATCGATAGTAAATACCAGTGGTAGACAGACATAAGGGAAATGAGTCATCTATGCATAAAGGAATTAATATGATGTATAAACAATCCGTCAAAATTGATATTTTAGCCAATATATTTATGTACATTTTCCTTTATGGCCTTCGTTTTGAAAATATTTTAAACTTCTTGCCCGCCTCTAGTTTAAAGCCTGGTATTTACTGTCGCATGAAGAAAATGTAATTAGTAATGTTGTTATAGAAGCCTGGTTCACAGCACAAAAAGGCAAAATTCCATCAATGATTCCATCCAATATTTATTTTTGATATCAACCCTGACAACTCAAACGTCGGCTCTAAGAAAGGATAGTACAGAAGATTATCTTGATCTCATAACACCTTTACTGCCTATCTCTAATACTATTTGCCTTGTAAAATATGGCTTACATAATGTACTAGTAAATTTGACGCAGTGGCATCTGGACCGCTTTATACATTACGCGTGTAAATTGAACCAAAGAATTCGAAAATGATCCCTACGATTTTGTTTCTTTCAAACTGTATAGATTAATGTTAGTCGTTTCATTAACGTCTTTTAACTATAAGTTAAAAAATATTGTACCTGCAACACCATATAATGTAATTGTTAGTTAACATTTGTAATTTAAGATTCGACCATTGTCGGTGGTTACATGTTTTTGCAAAAATATAAAGTTACACTGTTTAGAGGAAAATTAAGGGAATAGTTTAATTGGAGATAATAAAATTACCGTGTAGAAGACATTTTCTACATAAATGTAATAACCACAATATTTAGCAACTCGTAATATTAGGCCCCAAAACCTTGTCACGCAAGTTTAACACTTATGTTCATTTAAATAAGTATAAGTAAATGTTGGCAAAAACTTGCAAATCTAAATAAATGTGCCGTCCATTAGTACGGACAATTTTAACACATTAATTCATTTTAGAAGGCATACAAATGCATCGAATTGTGATGTAAAATCTAGACTGTAGTCTAGACCGTAAGATGTAGGTACGTATTACCTATGATGTCGAAACATTAGCTCACATTTTACCAATGTATGTATCTTTCCAATTAAACGTGATGGTTATAAAGTAAGTTCTGAATTATAAATTATGATATATTAATAATAGAGTTTGTACGCCTAGATTTATTGGAATGAAGGAATATGTAAAAGGATACTGGATATCTGGAAACCTGTAATATAAAACTGAACCGTTTTGCGCGGCACAAACACTTCCCAGCGCTTTTTTTAGCAATGCAATATTTGTTCAACTACAAATAGTTTGTTTATTAAAAATTCACAACTTTTAGTAAAATTACTTTTTTTTCTTCTTTGCAATTAAATTGGGCACTGGTATGCGTAATACGGTTTGAGGGAAACCTACATGTTGTAATACATTTAGAACACGATTTATGTAATTTGAATAATTTTAAGGTCATCGCATAAGACTAAAAGATAACAAGATTAAAAAAAAATAATGTAGGCGATTGACAATATTTTTAGTATTGTCGTTACGAAATTGTACTTTTGGACGAATGATTTAAATGTTATTTTTTAATCTTATGGTAACAGTTTGTTTTATTGGAGTAGCTTATAATACGCTGTTATAATAATGCTTTATATGAAGTAAAGTTTTTGTTAATTACGTATCGTTTTATTTGGTTAATTGCGGAGTTATTGCGCGCTACTTCGGTGAGGTCGCGATACAGTAGGTCAAGTAAATGACCTAATTTCTATGAAGTAACTTAATTAGGGCATAAATTAAAGATATCAGGCACACGGTTACAATTCATAGTTTGATAATGACAGGCGCTTAGTGGTGACTGCACGCGGCATGCACCAGCTTATCGTATCGTATTATTTACATGGTACCTATATTGTTTTGAACAATAAATGCATAGAGTAGGTAAATAAATACTGTCTGGGCTTGATAGTTTAACCGGAATAATTGTAGTAAACAGTTGTTGACTTTGGTTTGTTGGGACATATGACCATGGCTCTCAGGGTCAGCTACGTTTACTAAGTCTGCGGACTGGTGACCTAATCGTACTAGCCGGCATCGTCATGTCTCATCATCTTCATCTGAAGTGCTATTCAGCCGAATCCAGTTGTGAATAAGTTTGGTGCCTGTGCCTAGGACAAACCGAAAAATAGTCCTTGGCCAACCCGGGAATTGAACTCAAGACCGGGTTGCTGACGCGGTGTAGGTTCATGTATATCCATATATACCCTATACTTATTATAGGTAGTAATACTGTTTGAGTGTAGGTATCGGCCACTTGACCAACAAGATAGGTACTTAGTCAATAAAGAAGGATGCATGATGCTACTGAAACTTAGTGTGGGAGAACCATGCTTCGGCACGAATGGGCCGGCTTTACCGGAGTGATACCATTGCCTCACAGAAAACCGACGTGAAACAACGCTTGCGTTGTTTTTCATTGTGTGAGTGAGGTTACCAGAGGCCCAATTACACCCTCCCCCCCACCTCTTGTGTTCCAGCTGTCTAGAGGTATGACCATAAAAAACTATGTAGGTATTAGTTTTACGCCTATTTACTATAGGTAGGTACCTATATCTAAGTAGGTACTTACCTAAATAAACAAGAACCTAATAGAAGTAAAAACATGCGTCACTTCCATCGTACAACTATAGCGTAGGTAATTTAATTCGTCTGTCCACTCTCCTTGCTAACATAGCGTGACGATTATTACGTATACCTACATAATATAGTAGGTAGGTATATCAGATTGCATGATTTAAACTAGGATTAACATTAACTGTACGTTACGTTTCTTATATAACGGAGTAGTAATTACTAATTAAGAATGAATGCGCTAGTGCTTCGTCTGTTTTGCTGGTCGATGGAGACGGGGAAGCTGAGGTTGGAGTAAGAATGTAGATAAGTATTACATCTTACTTATGTACCTACACGTATGAACAGCCCGTCTCAGTCCACTGATTTTTTTGAGAGGTAAAGTCATCAAATTTCTCCTTCCGCTAAAACCACCCTGTTCCAATTCCTGCTTCGACTAACCCTTACAGTTGTCCTCAGCCCTGGGTATGCATAGGTACCTATAGGGTATACATAATAGATGCCCTAAGGTTCGTTACTGGAAAGTTGCCTTACTTTCGCCAACGAAACTTAGCCAAGCATAAGGGTGCGGAGCGGATAAGAGCTGTGCCGCGATTCACCAATCACATGGCTTGAAATTCACATCTCTTCTCCACTCCGCTAATTGGTTGTAGTTGATTGGTAAATCGCGGTACAGCTCTGCTCCGCTCCGCCTCAATGGAACTGCACCCTAAATGTAGGCAGGTCCCTTGGATAGGTATAACTATAAGAAAATCATTACCAAGTTTCGTTATCTACATTCAGTCGGTTCCTATAACTGAGCATACGTAAAATTTACATCAAGGTTGATTTCTACATGATAACTTCATAAAGCTGTTTTATTAATGCTAATCTATCAACAATTTATTGGTAACTTGGTAGTGACCGTGGCGTCGGTAAATCAACGCCACGTCGGAAACCAGATACGTTCCCGTGTTTGTAAAAAACAGCCAGAGGATTATGAACTACCGAAAGATCCAGTTACAGAAAATCGTAAGTACCTAAACGTAATTGATAACTCAGCAAATATACAAAAAAATGTTTACAAATTACATACCTTACCTTGTAATTTGTAAGCATTTATTATTTTTCAGCCCTTCCTCAACTAAAACCAAAAACAGTACCTAGTCAATTTTCCTGGTACTAGAAAAGTGGAGAGAGAACAGTGCCGGTGTAAGGGCCACTGACACCCCGGGCGAAAATATTGTGAGGCGCCCACTTGAGGGAAGCAATATCAAGTGTTAGTTTTTTGCTGATCCCAAGTAAAATTATGTTGAGTATTTCATCTTTCCTTTAGCGTTACCCAGAGCTAACGATGCGGACGTAGAAAGTTTTGTAGCTCCTAATATTTTTAATTTTTTTTTTAAGCTAATTTTATTCCTTTTGATTTCTTTTTGTCATTCACAAACAAGATTTCTTTCTAAAATAAAAAAAAATATGCATATGCACAGAGCGTAGAGCACAGTTCTGAAGGAGGTTTGTCGATTGGTTATTTAAATAGCAGTTTACCAGTATACCTATAAAAGACCGATACCCCGATATCGGCAACATCTAAAAAAAATACAATTTATTGACAATTTGCTTGACAAATGAATGACATTAGCCTAATGTCAGTTTCGTGTTGCTGATTCGATCATCGATGAGTTTTGTAACGCAGAAAATATAACTTTTTGCATTAAAAAGAGATGTGTATAAGGATTACGCTAAAGTGTAACTGAAACAACAATACATGACAGTAAAAAGTTATAACTTTCACTGCAACATTAAAATAATCAAAACTCATTTGGAAAACAAATCTTCCAATGGGTGGTGGTACAATAAATGAAATAATGTGAATTATAATCGAATCAGAGTGAAGAACGATAGATAAAAGTGTTAATCAGTGGGCCGTATAAGTGGAATTAAGAAAAGATGTCGTCTAGTCGATCAAAATCGTCGATTCTCGACAAACCGCTAAGCAAAGGCAAGGGGGAGGTTTCATTAGCATTCTATGCACTTTTATTCTCGGAAATAGTTCAATACTGCCAGAATCGTTCACATTCTATACATGAACTGCAAACCAAGTAAGTTTCCATCGATATTTGGGTACCAAAACCACAAATCATGATACTGGTTACAATTTTTTATAATCTGTTTCAGATTATCAGACATTGGTCATGATGTAGGAACCAGACTCCTGGATCTATATTTTGTAAGAGAAAGGAACAGTAAGCGAGAGATCAAACTACTGAATATGCTGCTGTTTGTAAAATCAACTTTATGGAAGGTGAAATAAAACACATTTTTTGGATGAACTTGCTAGCTTTGTGGAAAGTATGATTTCTATACATATTATTCTTCACAATGTTCCAGGTTCTGTTTGGTAAGGAAGCAGACAAGTTGGAGCATGCCAATGATGATGAGAGAACTTATTACATTATTGAAAAGGATGCTCTTGTGAGTATTTTACTTTGATAAGTACTAATAACATCATAAATTCCTTCTATGACCAGTCAGCACAGCTAATTACTATGTAGGTAAAAAAATAAAGATTAATTCACTACAGAAACAGTTACCATTGGTTGGCTATTTAACTCGTCGAGTACCGGTTTTATAGACACAATTAAAGAACAATAGGTCGCGGTCACCGGTGACCGCTTGGTGTTTGACAGTTTAACCAATGAATAGTTACAGAAAATACATACATACATAACATCACACCTTTTATCCCAGAAGGGGTAGGCAGAGGTGCAAATTATGTAGGTATTATGTAGGTACAATATATTTTCACTATTTATCTTATGAGTCCTATGTAATAGAGGTGAGCCTATTGCCATATACCATGTACAATTCTAGACTCCGTGCTACAACTGAGATTTTTTTTAAAAACCTGTAATAATTTGCCCGACCCCGGAATTGAACCTGAGACCCCTTGCCCGGCAATCGCACTTGCGACCACTCTGCCAATGAGGCAGTCATAGTTACAGAAAATGTGGCTATATAATTTAGTAAATAATGGAATAGAAAACTACTGATTCAATCAATATTGGAAAATTGATATTACCTGCATATGGTGCAATCATCCCCCCCCCCTTTCCCAATTTCCCCAATCCGTGAAACCCCAACAATGCTCAAATTCATAATCCCCAAAAGGCCAGCAATGCACTTGTAACATCTCTGGTGTTCCAGGCAACACAGATTGCTTACGATCAAGTGATCCGTCTGCTTATTTACTCATAAAATAAAAAAATACTTATACCTACTTGCACATAATATAATATAATACTTGAACAATTTCATAAAAATACATTTTTACAACAATTACAGATCAACAAGTTCATAAGTGTACCGAAGGACAAGGGCTCTCTCAACTGCGCCACATTCAACGCTGGCATCATAGAAGCGGTACTCACTAAGAGTGGATTTGTAAGTATGATTACAATTACATAGTTACCAGTATGATCGCTTACCATCAGGTGATCCGTCTGCTTGTTTGCCTCCAATTCCATAAAAGAAAACTATTAAACTTGTTTTTTTATATTTGACAAGCCCACATTGACCACTATCTGTTACCACTATTTAAGAAACTGCTGCACAATATGTAACTGAAAATATTGTTTATCTATAGAAATCTTAAGAAATATTCCATTCATTCCAAACTCCTTACACTTACAATGTTGAATCAGAATCACTAAGGTTAAATTATTCCCTTGCTCTACTTTTTTGCAGAAAGCAACTACTGTTATGTTTACATTACCCCTTAATAAGGCAAAGGATAATTCTTGGTTTCTTCTTGGTGATCAAATTCTTTATTTCAATTTCTCAATGGTTATTATGGTAAAGTTGGGATGAATCATGAAGGTAGAAAAAGAAAGATCTATTTAATGTTCTATTTTGTCATTTCAGCCTGCCAAAGTAACAGCCCACTGGCACAAAGGCACTACCTACATGGTGAAGTTTGAAGACTCAGTCATAGCAAGAGACAAATCCCTAGATGATCGCTAAATCGTGTTCACACCTCCTTACAGTTCGACAAATAATTTTCCCGCCTTTCCCCTCAAGGGAGCGAGACGCAAGTACACAAATGCAATACGAGTGAAAGAGATGACACAGAGCCTCGAAATGGCGGGTTTATTCGAATCTTACTGTACTGATAATACAATGCATGCTATGTTGTTAAGCTTTACTATGTTGTATGAAGTTCTTTCATTGTTTAATTTAATTGAATATAGAATATAAGCCTTTTAAATTGTATTGGAATGTTTTCATTAGAATGTTAAGCGGCATCAACTTTCTTCGTGATTACGAATACGAAGCTCCTTTGGGCTTGCTGACTAGCAATGCACGCAACAGCTCTTTGTGTTGTAGGTGTATCTACTACCTACATACATACGACTCATCATCAGCCCGTTTCTGTCTTCTACTGTATATATGTAGGTCTCTGCAATATAGCTCGCCACTGACCTCAATCCCTACATAGCATTATCTACACTAGTACTAGCAATGGATGTGTAGTATAGTAATGTATCCAATGTCACCCAAAAATGGGGATGATGACAGGGTATGAAAATTAAAAATATAATTAGTCCGTAAGTTAGGTAATGAAAAAAAAATAGACACGTATTTTTTTATTTTGTCGTATAATAAAACAATACTTAGATAAAACGAATCAAAGTTTAGGAGTGGGGGCTAAAACGTCATTTCTTAGTATAAAATGTACTGAGAAGTGACGTCACGCGACATTTCAAATCAATATATCTTCGAAACTATTCGTTTCTGTGAGAAAAGAAAAAATACGTGTCTAATGTTTTTAAATAATCTATCAGACGGACATCAAAATAAAAATTAGTCGTCTACCCTATAGCAGCTTAACAAGAAAAACGCAAAAATCAATCTACAACATATAATTGTCTACAGACTATAATCGTTTGTTCAAAATACATTATATTCACGCCAGTTTGTTCCGACGGTCCTTGTATTTCAGTCTGCCGCAGCGTATCTCGCGCTCCCTGTCAGTTCGGGTCTTCCAGAATATATAGCCGAGCGTAAACATCGGCGCCAAAGCAAGCAGTCCAAAAGTTATTGTTGTAGAATTAAATTGAAAGTATTCTAACTGACATGTTTTCATAGATATGAAATGTTGAATTGCCTTGTCGAACTGAAATTACATTTTTAATTCAAGTTTACGCAAATAATCGGCGTGAAAACCAAGAAACTCGTCATCAAAAGAGATCTGAGTTTTTCGCCTCAAGAGGCCAGCAACACTCCTGCACTCCTTAGGTCCTCCTAAATCCCTATCTCCTAGATATCATTAACACTTTCTCATAATGCTGCTGAATCCCCGCTAAACTTTCTTTTGGAATTTTCTAGCAAGAATTAAGTACCGGAAAACGGGTGCACAAATAGGTCCTGGATAAATGAAAGAGATGTATGTAACATACAGTTTTCAAGAAAAAAGCCTCATAATAGCCTCTCTGATCTGAAAGCCCTTGACTTGATGATGGTGCGTGACCAGTCAATGAAAGAGATTGAAAAAAGAAACTGTGTAAGTTCTCGCTAGTGGTGGTAATGAACTTACAACATAGCCTGCTTCTTGGGAATGCTTACAAGGATCAGTCCTCATTTTCAAAAATTCCTTTCTATACTTGGCACGTCTTTCAATTTGATCCAATATTATTTTACACTCAAGATCAGAAAATCCATACTTATTAGCCATTATAAAATATTTTATCAATAGTATTTACAATGGCCCAATATCAACCTTTTTGGTCATGACAGGTGTCAGCATTGTTTTCAGACCTTTTTTTGTAAGACTTGAAATGATAACTACCAGTATTTATTAGCACATTTCCAATATAAAAGAAAACAAATTAGAAAATAGTGTTGTTCTTTATGTTGTTGAATAATATTGCCATTTATGGTTATACTGTACAAGAATATTTTAATGTTCTGGCTAAATAAATAAAAGTAAATTAACAATTACTTGATTTTATTTCTACATGACAACTCATTTTATCTTAAATGTTCATTCAAATAATTACTGCAATTTGAACATTCTATCTTTGTAACGAAGTTCACCTTTCCTGATTTGTTCTTCACGTGTGGTCCTGTGTTTCCAGAGTATGTATCCGTAAGCAAACATGGGAATAACGATAGTACAGATTCCAAACAAGCTGGTTTTAGTATTGGCTTGGAAATGCTCTAGCTGGGTCACTTTCATTGATAAGAACTTTTGAATGGCTGGGTCAAACTGAAAAATTAGAAAAAATATTTACAATGTATTGGAATTTACAAGATAATATTTGTTTATTCTTGGACTTTTCAATAACAAAATTACGTAATTAAATACTCACGACATAACCAGCTTCGGATGCATGTTTGAATGGATTAGTTCTCTGTTTTAAGAACTCTTTCCTGAGCTCAGCTCGCCTTTGAGCTTGCTGTTTGATGAGGTTGTACTCCGCTTGAGAAACACCGAAGGGGTTCGTCATTTTTGCGGAAAATTGTCTCAGGTATGCTGGTGTTTAGGCTGATTTTTTTTTTCGGATAGTGTGAAGTAGTTTAATGTCAAACTCAAATTGACATTGTCAATTTCTTTTGACATAAATCAATTTTTGACATTAAAATAGATAAAAACTATACATCAGAGACAATTTCTGGAAAATTACCGGTTAACCTCAGCTACAACACTATTGAACATAGAGCGATCATAGACAATGATGAACGAGAATTGAATGATTAACCGTCTTCCGGCAACCATCTTTTCGTATTCCCTTGTTGTCGTTGTCAGATCGGCGATTTTTTAAAAAGCCGCAACCATGGGTCGTATGCACGCACCTGGGTAATATTATGTGTTATTTATAGTGTATAATGTGTGAATAACGATAGAGTATAAAATTTCGTTGTTTAAAAGTTTTGTGACATTAACATAACCTACTCGGTGAGTGGTCACCACATGGCTTGATGTTACAAAGTGTGTGTTTTATGATTTCAGTAAGGGTATCTCCCAATCGGCGCTGCCATACAGGCGCAGCGTGCCAACCTGGCTAAAACTGACCGCTGACGATGTAAAGGAACAGATTTTCAAACTTGGCAAGAAAGGCCTTACTCCCTCCCAAATTGGTAAGTGGTGCTTCGACATCTTACTTGACTTGATGTCTAAAACTCAAGTTCTTTAGTATTTTCTCGCTCATAGAACACTTCCAGGTGTTATTAGATACATTTGAAAGGATTTTGTGAAGAATATTTATCAATGTGGTTATCAATCTTGAACCTGACACAAAATTACATAGATGGTGATGTACGTCCTCTCCAAGGTTTTTCTTATCTTGAAAGTCACAGCGTGGTACATATCATAGTTTCGCTATCAATCATCACCTGATTAATTTAACAATATTCCAATGCTGCATGTTTACAGTGAAATGTCATGTTTTGTGAACAACACTGTTTTTGCTGTTTTATTTTCTTTTGAAATAACATAGGAATTGGTTATTTAATGTGCCCATAGAATGGGATAGAAATGAACTAATTTCTTGTTTTGTGCAAATAATTGTATTTTGTAAATCAACAATGCCGCATGTTGCTCTTTTGATGAATCCTTGATGTAAAACTAACGGTTCTCTAAGTGGAAGTGCCGGATATTAATTTAGATATTGCTCTCTATTTCCAGTCTTGCTGAACCAATTAATGCTTCTATCAATTTGCATTTGGGCCAATCTGAAACTGAATTTCTAATCTATAAACTTTCAAATCTTTATAATTTTCAATCTCAATTAAAAACTGAACAAAAACAAAACTGGTGCAGTTACTGCAGTTTAAAGTGGATATTTATTTGGCATTGTAAATATAGGTTGGAAAAAAAGCAACAAAAAAATGCTGAATGAATGCAATCCCTAACTTCACTCCTTATTGTTTCCAGGTGTGATGCTCAGGGATTCCCATGGAGTCGCACAAGTCAGATTTGTTACTGGCAAAAAGATCCTGCGTATCATGAAAGCTATGGGTCTCGCCCCTGACCTACCTGAAGATTTGTACTACCTGATCAAGAAAGCCGTTGCCATGAGGAAGCACTTGGAACGCAACAGGAAGGACAAGGACAGCAAATTCAGGCTGATTCTTGTCGAATCCAGAATTCACAGGCTGGCCCGCTACTACAAGACAAAGAGTGTGCTCCCACCCAACTGGAAATATGAGTCGAGCACCGCCTCAGCCCTGGTGGCTTAAGTTATAATAAACTAATAAATTTCCAAATATGTTTTATTTATAGTTTTAGTAAATGAACCAGATTTTTGACATGTTCCGTCCTTATAAGTTTGCTATTTATTATCATTTTCATCTTGATCTTTGTAATAGTTTGCCAACTAAAACTTAATCTCACCTGGTCAGCATGAAGCCTAATTCTTTACCAGGTACAATGCAATACATTATGAACACAAAATACTCCTTTTTGATGAACATGTGTAAATACACCTGTTTCACCTTGTTGTTTGGTACAAATAAAATCTGTGTCTGTGACTTGATATCTGACACTTCTCAATGGATCTGCCTTGTTTTCTGATGATAAAAAAGTTAACTCACATTGTGTGTACCTATGTGTAGGTACTCACTAAAATTTATCTTATACTATCATATAAAGAGGAAGAGTTTATTTTTTTAACGCGCTAATCTCCGTAACTACAAGTCTGAATTGAATAATTCTTTTTGTGTTGGATAGCGCATTTATCGAGGATGGCTATAGGCTATAAAACATCACGCTACGACCAATAGGAGCTGAGCAGGGCGTGTGAAACCGCTCGGAAGTAGCTAGATATTTATAATTAGCAGTGTGACTGTTACCATTTTTTTAGAAGATACATAAACAGAACCAAGTACATGAGTTGGTATTTTTCCTTGTTGGCAAGTGTCTTCAATACAATGTTGTTGAGTATACTGCTTGTGTCGAGCGGTGCTGGCAGTGTTGTAGCATAGTGTTAGAAAGCTAGATAGGTACTCTTAGGTCTAGGAACAATAGTGCACAAATAAGAATTAAACTACACATGGGTAGGTATCAAACTTTCTCATTTATTTACACTTAAACATTAGTATTTACAAATTATATCACAACAAGGCATTTTGAATGACAAGACTTCAAAAATAAGTACTTTTTTTATTTCTTTCAATGATGTTCAAATCAAAATTCATACTAAAAAAAATTGCAGATACTGTATTTAGTACTGTATTTACTGTATTTTACAAAAATTAACCTTATGAGATAAAATAACTTACATCTATTAGTAGGTATAAATCTCTTATATCACACAGTTGATGTGGCTAAACAGATTGATAAGGATTAAGACCTAAAAAAATTGTCACAGAGAACCTAACGGGTTTCCGGGGCTCCGGCTGCATGTGCAGGAGGAGGAACGGGGTGGTTTTTAATCATTAAGAGTCTGACATTCTCTTCCGCCTCACCCAGGTGGGAGCAGAAATTCGATGATTTTCCCCCCTTAAAAAAAATCCCTCCAAAGCAACTGTAGGGCACTACTTCTGTGGTCGTAAGTGCGTCCTGTGTTTACTGAAAACGCATCAATCGTCTAGTTCGATGATTTTCCCCCCTTAATAAAAAACACCTAAAAATTGGGTGAAGTCTCATGCAGATTTCAGTCAATTGATTAAATAAATTCATTTCTATAGCATCTTTATGAATTAGGAGGTTTGAACAGAAGTCACAAACTCAAAGCAAACAGTCTTCTTAAACATAAGGATTCCAGTTACTTCCATCTTCAGGATGCAGACTATTTGTAATGAGTAGCACTACATCAACTATCCACCAGATTCCTAGCCCTCCTAATGTGAGGAGTTTGCCTACAGCAGTCCCAGTCTGCCCAAGGCAAAATCTGTCCATACCTAAAAACCCTAAAAGTATACTATAGATTAACGTAGTGGTAAAATAGTGCCCCGAGTACCGGACACAAGGGAATCCATCTCTTAGAAAACTTCTGCTTCCATGACACTCGATCCCATCCAAAGCTTTGCATTGTACTTTGGTTTTCTCAACCTGGTCATATCTAACTCCACCAAACTTCACACAGCCGTAACCAACAGTTTCCCTCGCAGTATGATTCCCTTTGTGGTCGATTGGTTCATCACATTCCAAGAATTCTAGCGGTAAAAAGTTACATTTCACTAGTGGACCAAGTGGTCTATACTTTTCGTTGGAATATGGGTCAGCTTCTGATAGAATTGTTGGTATAATTAATAGAAATACTTGTATTACGACAGTGGAACGTGGTCCCCACATTTTCACTTAGTTTCCTTTCGTCTCATAAGATTTTATTGGCTTTACTTGTATTATCAATAAACAAATCGTATTCATGACCAACTCGCCATGACAGTCATTGAGCGAGCGTTTAAAAGACAGTTTTATGATTCGAGAGATTTGTTTAGAATGTTATATCTCGTATTTTACTATTCATTCATCCCGAGCTAATTCATATATAAAATTATACTGATTCTTATATGAGTAGGCAAATTAAATTTTTTTTTCCTTTATTACCTTATTTTTATAGCAACAACAGATAATTTCAACTTTTCAAACGATATCCGTAAACTGTAAAGGTCCAGAATTGAATCCATTCAGTTCAGAAATTGAAGGTAATTATTATTTCAAAAAACGTTATCATCAGTAATCTTTCTATAAAAAAAGGTTTCCTCATCATCAATCATGAGGAATAAGTGTAAAAGACCTATGTAATACGAATATGTTATTTTATGTGTAGTAAAATAACATAATTCGTTTTTCTATACATCTTAAAATTTAACTCTCACAAACGTAACCGAATAATTCCCAAACCCTATTCCCGTATGTCAAACTGACACTTCATGTCCGTACATTTTTGTCTGGCTCCGTAATGATTTTTATTTTCACAATACAATAAAAAGTTAAAAGTGTAACAAGAACATGGAGGTGTTTAACAAGTTCTATTCGTCAGTTAGTAACACAGTTTCGCAATTATCTGGTGTTTTGCCTGGAAATCCTGTGACAAGAGAGTTTGAGGCGACACAGTTCATAGCGAGCGCTGGTCCAGGTAAAAAGGATTGATTTGATCTATAATTTGCATTCAGAAGACATGAATACTGTCTATTGTGCACCTTATTTGCCCTGATTGTCCGTTCTTTGATTACCCACTTCAGTGATATACGTGACAGGGAGTGGTGTACATTTGATTCTATTTGTTTTTGTGAACATCTATAGTTATGGAATGTTTCAATAAGTCAATAACTTTCAATATTAGCCAATCCAGCTGAATGAGATACGGTTGCGTCAGGGGGTGTTGTTGGTCATGTGTTATAAAAACTGGATAAAAAAACATAATATTTGTAATGTTGTATATTCTAGAATGTTATTTACCTTTCTTATCTCTTCTAAATGCTTAGTTCATTGATATTTTTGTGATTAACATGCAAGGTAAACAAATGTGAATTCCCACCTAATTAGGTACTTTTGTCTGATTTACTCTTGTTTTTAATGTAACAAACACAATTAGTTTCTGTCTCATTATGTGTAAAATTTTCCGAAATTAATTTATTAAGATTTCTTGTTTGAAAAATGTTGAACAAACACATTCTAAATATATTGATATTTAATGTAATTGTAATAATTATATGTTTTATATTTGTAGACACAATTTAAAAAGAATATAAATGTGATTGTTATGTAAATTAAATACAATATTAAAATTAAATTATTTCAATTTCACAATAAAAAAATTATTTTCTAAGATATTTCTGTCATCCACTATGACACATTGTTTTATTTTTGAATCATTGAAAATCTAAATAATGTGATAATTAATAGTTTTTAATAAAAACTTCGATATAAAGAAATACATTAAATATGTTGATACATGGAAACTAATTATCTATGTTGCAGATAATAACATGACTAATATCCTGTTCTAACAAATGTTTTTAAATTGTTCACAGGTCTATTATGGAAGATATACAAAGGCTACAAAAAATCCACAAAGCAGGAAGCGTCAATATTTCTCTTCGAAAAGAAATATTTGGAAAGATGGTCCAAACCAGACAGAGACATTATGCTGGATACTCTAAAACGGGGCATCATACAGTTGACAAAGTTACGGCATCCGCAAATTCTTACGGTACAACACGGACTGGAAGAGAGCAGAGAGAGTCTTGCGTTTGCAACGGAACCGGTGTTCGCAAGTTTAGCTAACGTACTTGGTAATACGGAGAACATGCCGCAACCAACACCCAGTCACTTAGTCAACTATAAACTTTACGAGCTTGAGATTAAGTATGGATTAATGCAAATAGCTGAAGGATTATCGTTCTTACACAATGATGTAAAGCTTCTCCACCACAACATATGCCCTGAGTCTATCATAGTGAACCAGCAAGGAGCTTGGAAGATATTTGGTTTCGATTTCTGCATTGCTAACCAAAGTCAGTCAGGGTCTGCTCCATTCTGGCCGTTCAATGAGTACTGTCCTGCTATGCCGGCCCTAACCCAACCAGTTCTTGATTATTTGGCTCCGGAGTATGTTCTATCTGCTACTCACTCTCCTGCCAGTGACTTATATTCTCTAGGTATGGTGATATACGCTCTGCATAGCACTGGACATCAGACTTTGGGTAATGTAGGCAATGACTATGGGAAATTCAAGAGATTTGTGAACGAGATCAGAAATCTGCCGCCTTCAAGGTTATCTTGTGTAACTGATGGCTTGAGGGAATATGTGAAGCTTCTGTTGAATGCTACGCCAGAGCTAAGGCCAGATCCTCATCAGTTTTTGAAAGTAAGTCTTAAATAATTGACTATAGGGTGAAAAATTAAATATGATAAACATTAACTAACTCTTGGTCATCTTTTTGCAGATTCAGTATTTTGAAGATGTAGGTGTGAAGACCCTCAATTACTTAGACTCTTTATTCCAATGGGACAACCTCCAGAAGTCTCAGTTCTACAAAGGTTTACCACAGATCATACAAAAGATGCCGCATCGTATCTGCATCTATCGTATACTGCCATGTCTTACCAAAGAGTTCGTAAACCCGCCCATGGTTCCTTTCGTCCTCCCCAACGTATTACTCATCGCTGAAAACTGTACGAAAGAAGAGTATGTAAAATACGTACTCCCTGTTCTGAAACCTGTGATGATGATCCAAGATCCTATACAGATCCTCTTAATCTTTATGCAGAAAATGGAATTACTTTTGAAGCTGACTCCAGGAGAGGAAGTCAAGTCGGATATATTGCCGATGTTGTACAGGGCGTTGGAATCGGATGCCCAACAGATTCAAGAGCTATGTTTGTCAGTACTACCAACATTTGCGTCTCTGATAGATTACCCCGCGATGAAGAATGCTCTCCTGCCGCGAATAAAGAAATTGTGTTATAATACGAATTATATATCGGTGAGAGTAAACTGTCTACTGTGTTTGGGTAAATTGTTGGAGCATTTGGACAAATGGTTGGTGTTGGACGAGATTATACCGTTCTTGCCGCAAATACCTTCAAGGGAACCGGCTGTGCTTATGGGGATTCTAGGTATGTGTATTTTTTACCAAAGATCATGATCGTACTAAACTTCTTGACCATTTTAACAACAATAAACATTGATTACTTACCTTGATTTTTTTACGAGATTACCTCGGCATGCTTAGAAAGCGTATTGTGTATAAAGTCATGGATTTTTATGCTTTAAAGAACTCATAGATACATAAACTGACTTTATTCCGAGGCAGAAACTACTGCGCCATTTTTTATACCTACTGCCTACATGCAAAGGGTCTTGTACTAGATTCTAGAGGCGGGCAAAGCGTTTTTAAGCATTAAAACTTTTAACTCAGTATTTGTACGAAGTTAAGAATTATAAGTTATTTATAGTATTTATTATACATAGTATTGCCCTCCACTTTTAAGACAGATTCGCTTCCTAAACAAAAAATTATTTCCTATTTTCCAGGTATCTACAAATTAGCCCTCAGTCATTCCAAGCTAGGCATCACCAAGGAGGTGATGGCAACGAAGGTACTCCCGTTCCTCATTCCTCTCTGCGTGGAGAACGGCCTCACTCTGAACCAGTTCAATGCCCTCATCACGTTGGTGAAACAGATGATATCCAAAGTGGAGACTGAGCATAGAGCCAAGCTGGAACAACTTAATTCTATTAATAATGAGTCTAAGTGAGTATTATGTAATTTAAACTTCAACCTGAAGAGGCAGAATGATATTTAAATGTGAGAAAGCCATGCTTCGGCATGAATGGGTCGGATCGGGTAGAGATACTACGGTCTCACAGAAAACCGACGTGAAACAACGTTTCGTCGTGTGTTTCAGGTTACCGGACCCACAATTATCAATAATCTCCCCAATCCCTGAATTCAGGGACAACATTCCCAACAATCCTCAAATTCCTAATCGCCAAAAGGCCGGTAAAGCACTTGTAACGCTGGACACTTGGTTTCCATAGACGACACCGATTGCTTACTATCAGGTCATCCGTCTGCTCGGTTACCGGCTTATCCCATAAAAAAATCCTTCAGTTCAGATGACTGTTTGGTTCTAGAGCGCATGGACAGTTGGGTACTGGGTAAAAAGTAATATTTACGTAATCGTGACGGACTGCACTGATAGTCATAACCATCCGGTTGATGCCCACTGTGGCATCCATTGAGATACTAAATCGCTCTTAACAGTCTCCACCACGTTTGGGAACCACGTCTCACTGCAATATCTACATTCCATCATCACAGGTTACAGACACCAGTCCTAAGTTCTGACTTAATTCTTTTTTCCAGGATAATGGAGCAAACAATGTCTCCATCACCAGACACGCTGGTTGCGGCACCGGCACCACCTTCAGACCTGGACAAGATGTTCACTGGGCTCGGCATAGACCCCTTCTCCTTCAACCAGCCACCCAGCAAGGAGAAGGACCCACCAGCCCTGCCTGCTGTCAGCAATAATGGGAGACTTACCATTGAGGATAAACAGAGGTAAGCAATTTTGTATTGTTGTTTTTACATCCTAAGCGACATTGTAGAGATGCCAGAGTATTGTTAGTACCCCTAATTATTATTATTCCGCTGGAGTCATAGAAGCCCACTAAAGGACTACACATTTGATAGAGGATGGACCTTCCTTAACCCTCTTGGTAAACATGGAAATATTTTAAACTCTCTTTTATGGATAAGCCGGTAAACAAGCGGACGGACCTGATGGTAAGCAATCTGCGTCGCCCATGGACACCCGAAACACCGGAAGTGTTACAAGTGCATTGCCGGCCTTTTGGGGATAAGGAATTTGAGGATTATTGGTGATTCGGGGACTTGGGAGATTGGCGAAGGGGGTAATTGGGCCCCCAGTAACCTGTCTAGACAGACTTAGATTCAGACGAATCTGTATGTAAATTGTAAAGTGCACCATTAATCATTGCAATATAAAACTTAACAAAGTTTTTATTTGCTTCCAGGATAGCGCAGCAGCAGGAAAACGTCCGAAAGTTCTCGAACCAGCAACAACCGAAAGCTCTTCCTCCGCCTCGGAGCACTGCCTTGACACATAAACCAGTGGACTTGGCCGCGACACTCTTACAATCCAACCTGAACCAACTCTCCAAACCCATCCCCTCTTCAGTATCAAACCCTGCCCCCCCAAGCCAGGGCATGGCACAACTACCCAACACACATTTCAGCACCACAGGCATGACAAACACCAATTTCGGTTTCCAAAACCAATTCAATGCGTTTGACAACCAACCGGCTTTGCCAACCAATTGGAACGCACCACCTTCAGGTAACTTTAACAATAAATGGGCCAATAACCAGAATCAGGCTCAGGCTAAGAAACAGGATTGGTCGGCATTCGAATCTCTATTACCTACCCCTAACAATAATACGCCGTCAAATAGTAACACAAAGAAACTGTCAGACAATGAAATGATGGATCTGCTGAGCTAAATCCAGTGTTTGGTTATCTATGGTTATAGTTCGGGTTGCCAGACGAAAATGTTCAAACGTCTAAATTGTGGGATATGTCTGTGTTTACGGATTTATAATGCGACCATGTGATTTTAAAAAATAGGATAAAAGAAGATAACGTGAAATTTTTAGTTTTACAATCTTTTTTATTTGAAACGCTTTTATTTTTTTCGTTCGACAGTTTGTCACATCACATTCCTGCTCGTATTTATTATGATTTAGGTGCAACAAAATGAGGGTTTTTTTTATTAAAATGACATTTTTCATATTAAATTTATTATTTATTCGAATTATAATATAAAAATAGAATAGCTTTTAAAAATTATTTTTTAAGAACATATCATATTTATTACTTTTTGTCAGCCAATGAAAAGGTCACTTTAAAAAAACGGTATTTTATATCGATATATGGCTACATTTCGAATAGTTTATAATGCTCTAAAACACCAAGCTTACTATTGCTTTTAAACTGATATTTTAATTTAATTTTATCGTAACAAAATGAAATGCTGTATTTACAGATAGTATTGCTAAAAGTAATTCCTGGCTTTCTTACTTTTTATTAGTGACAGCTATTTAATAAAAACTTACAGGTACGATGTAAAGACACAAGCATATCAAGCTACCCCTATTCTGCCAAATTAATAATTTCAACTTTATCGACATGGGCTGGTTGGACCTGACCTACATCCAGTGACTCCCTGCGGCCAATATCAAATCGTCTGTTATTGTTTCTGCAATAAAGCCGATAATCGATTGGCAAAATTTGCTAGATTTGGGGTAGCTTCACGTGCTTTTGTCTGTATTAGGGAACTAGGGAATTGAATTGTATTAACGTTTTAGGATATAAATATTTTATATGTACACAATTCTTGGCCAATACTATGTCTACTAGTCTTTTGCAATACAACCCAGTCTTGGTCTACTGTAAACTTATTTAGCGTCTTATATCCTATTGTTAGAGCCCAAAATTGAATAGCGTTACTCTTATGTTTATAGCAAGAGGATATAAAATTGGACACCTCTGTGTATTGAAAAAACAATCTTATGTTTATAGTGTAAAGGTATTAATTTGCTCGACTTTTTTCGCATGATAATCCGTTAGTAATATGTAGTTGACGCACTGGGTACAACTAAGACACGATTTGAATACATATTAGCACATCAAGTAAACCCTTTTTGGTCGATTTGCTTCAATCGATTCTAATCCATATTGTTTAGTAATAAGGTAGCTTTCCACTTGCAGCATGTCCGGAAAAAGGTGGAATATTCCTTCCGATGGTGATAGAATTTTTCAAGTCGATACAGTAATTACGGAGCCTATTTAGTTCAAAAAAAGAAAACTATCATCCTTATTGTAATGTAAATAGAGTTCATAATGTATTTAATAAAGTGGTCAATTTTGGTTAGTTTGGTGTGCTCCCGCCTTTTCCCAGTGCGTTGTCTACCATAGATGTGATACATTTATTTTTTAAATAGACTGCATCAGATGTGATCTCTTAAAAATAAACAACTTACTAAATATAATTTATTGTTTTTTTAATTATTTATTTAAGTATGGCAAGACATATTATTTACATGTAGCAACACTTTAGCTTATAAATAAGAACTAATTTTACAGTTTTAAAATATATTAATTATTGGTTACTTAACATTAACGCTCGCATTATAAAAGTACATTGTACAAAATGGATACTTAAATCCGAGTTAAAAATAGTTATTAATTAAAAATAATTAAATTAATATACTTAAGTAAATAAAAATCTTGGTTGCACAGGACACACATTCCGCCATCATTACTACTATTATTACACAACCTATTTTGTTTTTATTATGCAATTAGTACTACTTCAATATGATTAATTGTTATTGCTGTACCATCCTCAGAGGATACTCTGAGCAGCCAACAGATCAATCTTCGTTGGACTTACCGCTTTATTCCAAAACAATAGAGTTGAAAATCGAATAAAGACATTTGTAGACACGTGTAGATTGACCTGAGGGCCACTATACCTTAATTATTTAACGTATTTTGATTATAGTAGCACAATAACTATTATAAAGTTGTCAGGAAAATCCTAGTTAAATCTAACCATCCTAAAATGGTAATAAAGACGGTAACTTTTCTTAAGTCATAAGGTTCAAAATACTAAACAAAAATTACCGTCTTCTCCTAAAAGACAAAGCGAAGAACATGCATGCTGTCACAGTTTGTAGTATACTGGCTGTCAAGAAACACGTTTTGTAATCATAATTATAAAGCAAAGACCACGTCATGATAAATATGGCGACGATGGTGTTCGAAGCTGTCATGGTGGCTGTGGTATCGAATTCGTTTAAAGTACTGTTATATAACGGCTGTTGTAGAATGCTGGACGCTGCTGTAGAGAAACTGGCCAGCATACACCATACCACTAGCAGGCTCTTGTTGCTGGACATGGCGATACCTGGAAAAGAAGAATTTGGATTTAACTTCTTAGTCTAAGAATAATAGAAGAGGAAGAGGATATTGCGTTTGTGATTTCCCGGAAGAGAGGATAGAGGTTAGTTTTTATTGCATGGTGTCAATGAAAGGAAACCGGTAATACTAGATCTGGCTCAATTTTTAACTCTCGTAGTGGGAAGCCAAATACTCAAATATTTTTTAGCGGAGAACCATATACTATTACGGTAAATTGAAAGACAAAATCTTAGATAAATCGGTCTCCAATCATGTCCAAGAAACTTCCAGAAGAACATATTACACCAAGGATAGAGAAACCGTTAATTTTGCAGACATTAATCAGCTCTATGGACGTTCGCACTTACCATAGAAGCCCATTGCACCAGCTACGCAGAAGGCAGCACACAGTCTTGCTTTCTCATTGATGGACTTTGGCAGCACCACACATAGCATTATGAAGCACAATGCTGATCCGTGTGCTGCAGCTATCAGTGTTGAAACCTGAGAAAGGACATCAGGATTTTCTAAGAAACGTTTGGTAATCCTCTGGTTGTTATTTCTAAAAAACGTGGTCATTTTTTCTTTCTTTAGAAGATATAATTTAAATTACATTCTTTTGTTCTTGAACGCCACGTAATTTGAAGTTTTAAACTTCTTTTCCTTATTCATAAAGATACTGAATGCAAATATTATAATCTGCAAATGGTTACAAGGAAAATCGTTTGTGAAATGTAACATAATTAATGAGCTGATGTTTATTAAATAAGAAAAGACCACTTACCGACCAAATATTCATTGAAGGATTCTGCTCCCATATCAAAGGTGGGAAGATTAGCCCAAGAATCAATATAGAGAAAGTCGTACAAATATGCAGTAACGCATACAAATAGAAGTTAATATCCTTCAACATGTTAGTTATCGTGAAGAAGTTCTTCTTCAAAGAGGCTGTTCTTCTAGCAGTACCTGGTGACACTTCAGCTGCAAAGACCACGCTGTTCGTTGGGGCATTTACCGTCGTCTCTCTGTACAAAGGCTGGGGCGCCTGTCTATCAATATTCTCTAATTCCTGGTACCCATTAACTCTCGCATAAGTATTGATGTCCAAAGAGCCAAAATCTGAAGAAAATCTATTCGATCCTGTGTCATACATTGTGCTGAAGTCAGACGAAAACCTGGACTGTTTGGAAGCCGGTCTGTTTTCTCTGTACTGAATGGAAGGATCTAGAATTTCTTTAGCGTTCTTCTTTGAGTTGAAGACTACCACATCAGTACCGTCTTCTTCTACTGCCATATTATTATGTGATGATGATGGTTCCCCTTGAGAGCTGCTTGGTTCATTGTTCTTTCGTTCAGCCTCACTCTTCCGTGCTTGGTTGGAGAATATGACTTCATCTTCGTCCTCCACAGCGTCTCTGAGCATGTTGTATGTATGTCGTAGGACTTTTTCTATGTAAATGGGTCGTGTGTATGATGCTAAGAAGATGCAGTTCTGCATGATGATGGCTCCGTAGATCATGACAACTACATCTCCGGAGTACACGGAACATAGATACCCGATTAGTATGGGTACAAGGCAATTGCCGACAGAGGGCGCCATGCGCACTATCCTCTGCGCCATGGTGAGCTTCTCTCTGAAGTAATGAGTGATGATCACTTCAGTCTGCTGCCCAGTCAAGGCGCATCCGATTCCTGGAACACATAATAATGCGTTTAGTTAGCACTAGTAGTGTCAATTTTGAAAACAAGCAATTAATCTTATAATCCTTACTAATATTATAAATCGGAAAGTGAGTTTGTTTGTTTGTTTGTTTGTTCCACTTTCACGCCGTAACTACTTAACCGATTGCTTTGAAATTTTGCAGACATAAAGTTAGAAGTCCGGATTAAATAATAGGGTACTTTTTATCCCGGAAAAATTGATATTCCCGAGGGAAAACAAAAGTATTGGTATAGATGGCGCTGTGTGTATTGGTAGATGTCACATAGGCTACTCATTATCCTTTTGTGACGCGAGCGAAGCCGCGGGTAAAAGCTAGTTGGATGATAATTCAATCTTTATAGAATATTTAAAATAATTCGTAAGTCTATGCAAGTAAAACGCAAATCATAGGAAGGTATGTAGTTCCCTTCCTACCTAACATTCTGATACGCTCGGGCATCGAACCTAAAAATTCTTAGCCAAATATCGCCTTAATTGAACAGAATATTTACCCAATGACTATATATAATTGCATACATGTAGGTATTTTATCAAGCTACGTTTCCGTCATTATGTAAATACGAAAGATACAATTATATAGCGTTGACATTCTAACATTGTATTCTAAATAGATAATTTTAGCGTCTTCTCTACTTCGTGACACGTTTCATTTATTTGTTTAACATTTTGAACGCACAATAGAGCCACGTACCTACACAACCTTCATTTACACGAAATATCTTAACAGATTCCAGATTCCCTTGTTACTGGTACTGAGATTTGGAAAGTACTTTAGTGAGTAGGTACCTAATTGGGTTGAGTAGACCCGTGATTTCTTGCTTGAAAGTAGCCAACGAGGTACATCACCTCTTTAAAAAAAAACAGAGTCCCTTAGATTTTGTTTTAAGTCAATCTATCTATTCTTGGGCTCGCTGCCATTGCAGCGGTAAGACCCCTCTTTGAGGAGTGGCTTGAGAGACGCTACGGCGTCCTCACCTACCGCCTGACGCAGGTCCTCACCGGACATGGAAGTTTCGGGAGGTACCTGTCTGATGGGGCGGGAGGAAACGCCCGGTGTCATCACTGCGAGGACCGCCCTGAGGACACGGTGGAACACACCGTAGCGGAATGCCCTGCGTGGGCTGAGCACCGCCGTGCCCTCAGGGAAGTGATCGGCGATGGCGACCTCTCGCGTCCGGGCCTAGTGCAGGCCATGATGCGGAGCGAGGGGGACTGGGATGCCGTCTCTTCCTTTTGCGAAGCAGTCATGCTAGCTAAGGAGGAGGCGGGACGCGTGAGGCAGCGAAGCGCTGCCTCCTCGCAACCCAGCCGTCGCGAAGGACACACCGGGCGTCGGGGATCGCGGGACGATCTCCGGCCACCGTAAGCGCGGGCCTGCGGACGGCGAGCAGGGGTGGCTCCCCGTCCGACCAGAAACAGACCCGAGCGTACGGCGCGTCGCGTTCCGCGCGCGCCTCAAAGAGCCATCAGACCACCACAGATGGGGCCCAGTAGGGCCGATGCCGATTCGGAGTCGCGGAGAACCTAACGGGTAACCGGGGCTCCGGCTCGACGTGCAGGAGAAGGAACGGGGTGGTTTTTAGTCAGTAAGAGTCTGACACTCCCTTCCGCCTCACCCAGGCGGGAGCAGTCATTCGATGATTTTCCCCCCTTAAAAAAAAAAAATCTATCTATTCTATTACTTATCTGATTTTGTTTTTACCGAACAGACTGTCGTGTTTCGCATAAAGACAGCAGCTATTGTTAATCATAGGACATTACTTACTTACAAGTTAAGTGCAGATAATAAAATCTAATCTAGATACGTACCTAGATTATGCCTAACCTTAACAAAGATATAAACATTTTAACTACCTAGATTAGGTAGTTCTGTATAGGTATCTAAACAATTTTTATAAATAGTCCTTAGGCCTTAAATATCATTTAATATCTCTTTTTATTTGCATTGAAGTCTCTTCCGCTACTAAAACACAACATCTGTGTAAACAAGTCGTGACAATTTCATTTACAATAAAATCTAAGTTTATTATTCCGTTAAAAGTCATAGAAATTGCAATATCATAACTTTAATGCTTTGTTAAATCGTGGATAACTATTGTTCCACTGTTTTATTAACTACGTAGATAGCTAAAAACTAAAACCTATCAGCCACAACCACAAGATCAACTGCTGGACATAGGCGGAAGTCAGTAGGTACTTTCGAATCGGGCGGTTAGGCTTGGAAGTACCTGCATATCGGATCCGACTCCTAGCGACCATTATCAGATCGAATATCCACTTTAAAGATGGACGTACTTAATTAGTTACATCGTTAATTAATAATTTAAAGGCAGATAAAATAAATGTTTCTTAAAATTGAATAAATCAAGGTTAAGTAAGTGACTGTTATGTTCTGATGCATGTGGGGCTTATAAAATGTGATTGGTAGTTGATCTTGATACATAATTATGTGTTAAGTAGGTACCTACATACCTACTTATAGTAACAAAAATAAAATCAGTCAATATATCTAACTTTGATAAGTTAATTCGTTGTAGTAAGATACCCAGTGATTGATAACAATATTCACAATAACATCTTTCACTAATGCATTAGGTACTTCGGTACTTTTTAAAAGATATTTACATCATTCGTAAAAATAAGAATTCTTTGTAAGGCAATGACTAATATATACAAGTTAGCAGATATAATCTATGGACTATGACTCCTAGGATTAAGTAGGACAATAGTTTGATACTTTAGTAAGTACCTACTAATGACATTTCTAATAATTTCCTAAGTGTTTAGGTACAAACTTGAACGATAAGGTCGACTTCATTCAATGTTTCCGAGAACAATACTAAGGCAATGCACAAATAATACGTATACCTAAGTAACTCTACATTATTGGTAGGTACCTAGGTAGGTACTTACATATATGTCTACTTTTCTTGAACAATAGTTTCCCATTAGGGCAACGTAAACGTAACATCTCTTAAGTATGCACTAAACTATTTAAAGACGTTTTTATTATTCCATTCTATTGAACAGTGACCTTGTCAGCAAGGCGAAACATTGAGAGTCATATATTTACTTACCTGCAAATATTCCGGAGAATGTGTTCACTATGTGGTCGTTGCTGGCTGCGTCTGTCGAGTAACTTGACAGTAACACTCCCGCCACGGTCAGACAGAGTCCTGACAACGCCATAAACCTTGGCATGTGGAAGATCTTCACCACAGCTCGGCACCATGACTCCAGCAACAGTCTTATCACCAATGCTATCACTGGCACCAACGCTATATCCACGTCCCATATCTTCAGAACTTCATTATCCTCATGTCCTTCTTCTCGAATCGCCTTCAAGATTATCAGTCCATACAATGATAACAGAGCTGGTACTGTAATGTGGTATATCACTGCTGACACAACAATCAACCATCCATACCCGCCGTCTGGTGGTGTAGGCCCAATCTCTGGCTGTGAGGCCACAACTCTGTCCAAATGCAAGTCGTCTACCCTGGTTTCACCTTGCTCCATGCGATTGGGGGTTCGGTTCGTTTGTTCTTCCATTATTTTGTCACAAAAACAATTTCTTCATTTTATAAAAATACATGTAGTCACTTAGTTATCTAGGTGGAATGGGTGTGTTATCTTATCATTATCATTTGGCGTAATCACTTGCTCTAGATTTTGAAATTCAGCGCCAATTTAATCCAACACAGTACACAACTACGCCACATTGTCATTATTTGTATACTGATTGATACAAATAGCGAGCATATTTTTAGAAAATACTGTTGAATAATTTGGTAAAGAAAAAAAACGAAACAAAAAACATTTTTAAAAGTTCTAAGGAATGTAGTTTCTGAACGAATGCAGGAGAGACAGGAGAGATAATAAAACGTTATACGACCAAGTAGAGGAACCATTCGCCATTTTGAAAGAATGTGATAGACATATTCTGCCATATATTAGCTAAAAAGAGACTTCCGATATTTGATTACTGGAGAGCGTAATTTCAACAAAGCTGGTTTTTACAAAATGAATGAATCCGTTTGATCGACATTCGTGCGAGACGCTCTAATTGGGATTTTATGATTTATTCAATAATGCAAAGGTATTTTAAATGAAATCTTGTTGAAACCTAGTTTTAATAAATGGAGCATACAATTTACTAGTGCAGTGTAATGTTTTTCCTGTGACATCATGTTTTACATCGTGTTCACACTCCGTAAAGCATTTTAATTGCTCGTAATTTTGGTGTTATACATTATTGTGTGTTGGTGTAGGTGTTTATGGTGCTGTGCTGATGGATAAGATCGAGGAGTGGAGGCTGTACAATGGAAACGGAGTCGGTGAGGTCTGAGCTGAGCAGCCGGTCGCGAAGGAGCTCGAGGCACCGGCAGCACACGCATCGAAGCACCCGGTGAGAGACACCTTCACGGTTCATTTTTCTCTAATTTCGAGTAATATAACCATTTTTTCGAAGCTCTGTACATCATAGGTCAAAATTCTTCCCATTTTACTAAATAGGTTTAGTACAAACCCAGTGGGAATTTCCCCTAAGTTAATTACAGTGTGATAGGATCATAATTACAACTTACAGACCTCCCACCAAATTACAGTTACTATGTTATCGAGCTTAAGCCCTACAACTGTTAACTAAAGTGAGAAGAATCAGGAATGTACATAAAATTCTCATTAATATTCCAAAGTTGTTTTGGGATTATTGTAGAACATAAAGTATGCATGGCAGGTGTATGTTAATGTTGTTAAATAATAACTGTTTTAATATGGTTATTTTGACAATATCCTGGTTTTAGTATACACCAGGTTTTAAGGTGGAATATTTATGGCTGCCAAGCTTTGAATGTAATCGTCATGAGTTAGTTTAAATGGATACTGGACTATACTTTACGTTTTAAACTAGATTTTATACATTTGACCTCATTAACACTAAATACTAAATAGAACATACAACATAAATAAAACAATAAAGGAATCAGTACATAGACATATTTTTATTAATAATTTGTATAAAATTTCAGAAGCACAAAGTCACAGAGGAAAGAATCTTCAGATAACACAATGGCACCATTCCAAACTAGTGTAAACATTAACCCAGAGATGGGTAGAGATGGACAGGAAGTCATAGAGGTTCAAATCTTGCCACAGGACGAGAACTGGGGAGAAAACACTACTGCAGTCACTGGAAACACTTCCGAGGGGTCCCAATCAATGGAAGATGTCAGCAACTGGCCTATGGAGTCAGATAATGGAATTGGGTTTGTGTGTACCAGATATTTTGGCACAACAATAGCCCTTGGACTGTCGTTTGTCTCATTTGTCAGTCCTCTAGCAATGGTGGTGCTGCCAAAGATTGGATTCTTCCCTGGATTGTCAGATAATATAGCGATACAACCAAGTCAGAGGATACAGCTGCTCTCTTGCACAGCTGAATGTAAAGGAATACTCCTTTCTCTTGCCTTCAAACTTGTATTACTAGCCATTGGAGTATGGGCTGTATTCCTAAGACCAAGAAATGCTATATTGCCAAGGATATTTGTCTTTAGAGCTATGACACTGGTCATTCTAGCTGTATGTATATTTTCATACTGGTTGTTCTACATTGTGCAGATAACAGAGGCAACAAAAGCTCTTGCAGTGGGCGAGGACGCGATAGATTATAACTCCTTAGTATCTTATGTATCCAGTTTTGCTGATACATTACTGTTTATACATTATATAGCTGTAATTTTGATGGAGATCAGGCATTTGGAGCCTGTGTACTATATAAAGATTGTTCGGAGCCCTGATGGTGAAAGCAGGTCTTATTCTATCGGACAGTTGAGCATACAAAGAGCAGCTGTGTGGGTTCTACAGAAGTATTACACCGAGTTTCCGATATACAATCCGTATTTGGAGAAGATTCCTATATCTAAGTCACAGAGGAAGGCGCAGTCTAGTATAAAGTTCTATGAAGTGGATGGGTCTACTAATGCCACGCCTGGACAAGCTAGGTGAGTTCTAAACAAAATTTTGTTTTTTATATCTATTTTTTATGTGTCTGCCTCCTTAACCGAATGATCGCAAGTGCGACTGGCAAGGGTTTCGATTTCGATTCTCGGGTCGAGCAAAGTATTACGCAGTATAGCATGGAGTCTGGAATTGTGCCCAGTATATACCAATAGGCTCACCCGCTATTATATGGGATGGGACACAACATAAATAGTGAAAAGTGGGTGTTATATTGTACAATGGTATTAAGTGCCATAATGTGCACCTCTGCCTACCTCTTCAGGGATAAAAAGGCGTGATGTTATATGTTTTATTTGTACTTGACATTCCAGCTAAAGAGAGATAGTCATATACTCCAGTTTACATTATTAGACGGTATCAACAATTTTTATTAAATTTTAAATAAAAAAAGCTATGTAATATTGTACTCTGTATGAGTATTATATCTCAGTACTTGCATTGTATAAAAGTACAGTAATACTGGCCTTATTAAAATAAAACCAGTTGTATTGTTGTCATTGATGCCATGTGTGGAAGAATTCTTTTATTTTAAACACAAAGCACCTAACAAAAGCTTTTAAAAAGGATCCACAGAGATATATAATATTGTCACACCTATCTCATTGTAGTTAGAAAAAAGTGTACTTCCTTCTTTTTTTAAAGTCGTTAATAACAGTAGTATACATTTGTCAGTTCCAAAATGACTGACGACTTACTGAAGGGGTTACTTATACTATTTACCCTTCCGTTGTGTTTCGTCATGTGAGTGACCGGAGGCCCAATTACCCTCCCCTTCCCCAATCTCCCCAATTCCTGAATCCCCAACGATCCTCAAACTCCTCATCCCCAAAAGGCCGGTAACGCACTTTTAACGCCTCTGGTGTTCCAGTTGTCCATGGGTGACGCCGATTGCTTACCATCAGGTGATCCGTCAGCATGTTTACCGGCTTATGCCATAAAAAAAAAGTCATAAAGCAACTATGTATTTTTACCTATTCTTGTTACAACAGTCGATAAATCCATCACCAAATATATCTGCTAATGCTGCATTCATTGCATACGAATGCAAGGAATGTTATTTCGTAATTTCCATGTCAAACACTACGCAGTACTGGTTGACTGTATGAGGCAGTCGAATTCTAGTATATATATATTTTTTAAATCGTTGCCCCTCTAGGATTTTCTGTGTCGTGTGTGCGTTTACAAAAATACAAGCTCACATACACATGACACCCAGACCCGGAACAACAACCTGTGGATCACACAAAGAGTTGTTCCGTGCGGGAATCGAACCCGCGACACATTGCGCGGCAGTCAGTTGCCCAACAACCGCGCCAACCGCGCAGCCGATAACAATAAACTGTTTTTTCGACCACCATGAATCTCATTACAACAAAATAAAACAGTTAGGAAGTAAATTTTGATTGGTATTTATAGAGTAACCGTCATGGTTGTAATGGATTTACCATCGATGCCGAAAAGAAGTGTGTCTAATTGATGTTTTAAAGAGCGCCGCTAATTGCCGCCTGCTGGTTGGTTCTTAGATAATTGTTTTGATGCTTCTGACTCGACGAGACTTCCGAGTTCATTCTCATTTCAAGTTCAATTTAGTTCCCAAGGTAATTTGGAAGTTAAAAGTTTTGTTACGTGAAAAATACAAAAACCTAATGTTTTATTGTTTAGTGATGAGGTTTTGATCAGCAATATAAGGAGTTAGGAACCGCCCATCTATTATAATACCTTTTTTTTGGCATAATGTTTAATTGTAATATATGTTCTCATTTATAAGAAGATCTATCATATAGTGGACTTATTTGATATAATATGTATCTACTTGAAAATAAATGGCGGCCCAGGGGCCGAAAGACAGGTCTTTCTTCAATTAAATTTTTAACTTTAATTAAAGTCAGTCAACTTTGGGAACCATCCCAAAGTAGATTGACTTTCCATCCAATCTGGCCATCCCAGATACCAGTCTGGGATGGCTGGCAGACTTCTCGGTTCCACGAATCCCTCATTCACAGATCAACGAAGTATTGTATAAAAGGAAGAGGTTTATATAGTAGGTTATCTTGGAAGTGTAGATGCTGATGGGATGTGATTTTCTGTTCACAGATCTACAACAGGGTCCTGTGGTGGCGGGAGCACTCGTCGCCGCGACTCTGGGTCGGCGCACAACGAGCGATACTACGAGGAGGCCGAGCGCGAGCGACGCGTGCGCAAGCGACGCGCGCGACTGCTCACCAGCGCTGAGGATGCGTTCGCGCATGTACGCAGGGTGCGCGTCTCTAGTAATGGTACGGGTGCGTTATGTGCTATATTTGTTAACTGAAAAATTTCGTAAAATGTTGTTAAAACAAATCTTTCTGAATTGCTTGAAATTAGATAGCATCATTTGCATCTTTTCTGCGTTTGTTGTTTTTGTTCCATTAATACAGGGTAATTTCATAATTTTATCTACCCTATCTCAAATCGCTTGAGGACATGTTCTGTTTAACTGGAAAAGGAGGAGCTCCTCGTTTATCCTCCTTTATAAGTTTAAAGCTTTAATGTAATGGAATATTTGAATAAGTGTAATATATTGCTTGCAGGCGGCGCGCTAGGTCCCCGCGAGGCGGCGCAGGCAGTGTTCCCGTCGCTGGCGCGCGCGCTGCAGAAGTACCTCCGCGCCACGCGACAGCAACCGAGACATTCTGCTGACTCTGTCAGTACTATTTCATTAATTATACTTCTCTATAGAAACATCGTTTTTAATAACGTCTAATTAAATTAAGAAGGAAATATATCATGTCGGTTTTGATATGACAAAAATCTAACTAAACATCTCCTTTCCAGGTTCTCGCACATTTAGCGCGTTGTCTCTCTCAAGATGCATCGCCACGTGCCTTCCTAGAGCCATTCTTGGTTGAGGGACCTGTATTGGCAGCGGACCAAGAGACGAGACCCATTCAGAGATGGTCTCTGATCTCCGACGAGCTTCTAGCCAGACCGTTAGCAGATAACGTGGAATTCCAACTAAGACAGGGTGATATATCACTTATTTGTACTATAAAGCAACTGCCCAAGTTCTCACTAACAGAAGAGGTCGTTGACCCTAAAAGCAACCGATTCATTTTGCGGCTAAATTCAGAGACGTCCGTCTGACAGGAGGAGTTTTGTAGTAGAGATGACTTCAGACTCGTATGACATACGGAGTACTTTTAGGTTAGGTAATGGACAGTAGCTTTGTATTGGACCTTGAGATTGTGTGTAGATATGTATAATATCTATCTAATGTTTTATTGGTACTTAGGTGTGTTTGGGGATAAAATAAGTTTACGACAAGATAATGGCAATGCCTGTTAGTAAGTAAACTTTTACTTAACAGTAATTGGACTTAAATAAAGCCTTTAACTGCCGATAAAAACTGTTTAAGGCTGATCCTCCGCTAGCATCGGACATCATTGTCCGACACGGCATCCAACGTGTTAATCGCGAGTGGCGCCACATAGTGAGGCTTATAAACTGGAATAAGAGACTTGTGGTGTCTTTAGTGGTTAGGGGATTTGAACTTAAACTGTTTCCACATTTCGAGTATAGTGGTACTTTTTGCTATAACAATGATTGTTTAAACTTAATATTACCATGAAACACAAATATCTACTAAAGTAAAATCAATTTCCAGTGGGAACTCTCATGGAAAAATACTGTAAATAATTCCTTTAACTTAAATAAAAAGAAGTATGTCTGTCAACGCTTGTGTTCAATTTGGTGCGAAGTAAAGCTTCTGTTCATTGCCTGTCAAGAAGTAATGTGCAGTTAATTTTGCGGTCAATTTGATATTGCTTCTGCAAATGTTTTAATGTAACTGTGTGATTGTTATTTATGGATTTGAATCTTAGATTATGCAGTGCATAGTAAGGGTATTTAAAATAAGACGACCTCTTCTGTCGCAGTTGATAAATAAAGTAATGAGTGGTTGATTTCTGGTTCACTAGCATGAGTTCGATTTTTAAATACCTATCTGTCAAGAATTGAATTGAATGTCTAATGGTTTCACACTAGGTAATTCTTTTTTGGACAAAGATATCTCCCGCTTCATGAACGCCTTGTGCCAAAAATAGGCCTCATTATTGTTAATTTTTCGTAAGACTACAAGAACACTTTCCATTTTTTCTACCATTAGTAGGTAATATTTGTAAGGTTTTGATAGAACATATTTTTTTACAATAACAAGCCCACGCAAGCTTAGATAAGAGCTAAGATTGTATTCTTGGCCGAAGGTAGAGATTAATTTTATTTGAAGACTAGCTGACCCGGCACAATTTCGTACCGCCTAATATTTTCTCTCACATTTTAAACCTTCCCTGGACTTCCATGAACGTTTCAAGACCAAAATTAGCCAAATCGGTTCGGTCTCGAGTTGTAGCGAGAATAACTAAGGGAAATTCATTTTTATTTATATAGATTAGAACTGAACTGATAATTAGAACTGAAATAATGCTTTTGCACGTTTGATTAAAAATAAAATACTCTAACGTACGGGGATAAAAACTTTGTAATTACACAAAAATATTGTACTATTATAACGTCTTGATATCGCGGAACGTATCTTTTGGAATAAACCGCACCTCAAACTGTCACATTTGGAGAATTGTATGATAATTGAAACCTCACACATCTTGTACGGTGGTTAATATTAAATATACGACAAACAATACTAAATTTTTTTACCCAATGAAGTAAAAACGAATACTCCAATTTTTAGTATTTTTACCATTCTATAAATACATTTTTGAGTGGAATCTCAGTAAACAAGAATCTCAAATAGTTTTATAAGCAAACAAACGATTGAGCCGCCATTTTGTTATTATTTTACACATTAATTAGAAAAGACTAGACTGCATTTAATGTTTTATATTATTTTATTAGTCTATAGCAAACAATTTGTACATTCGTGTCATATTTTACATAATGTATGTAATAAGCACAATTTTTGTAGTTAGGGTAGTAGGTTAAATATTATGAATAAGGAAATGTTGTACTTTGCGTATTTTTAACAAACTTCAAAAATGAATTTATCTGTTTTTGTATGTAGCCTTTAATATTCTGTTAGTACAGGCAGATACTATGAAGCGGCAAACGCTACTTTAATAATAATTAGTTTAATTATTATGTATGTCTTCGTAACCCACGGGATCACAGGGTCCCGGTCATTTGGGATGCGTACGAGGGGAATTCAACTGCACACAGGCCCTTTAGACAACTTTAATCTAAATGTAATCGGACAGAAATCGCCATCGGCGACTATCCCTGTATGCACTATGGAAATGCACCCAAGCACAGTCCCCGGTTAGTGTAGAACTATTGTAGAGTCTTTTACTATGACAATCGTAAACAGAGTGCCAAGCACAAGTAACTATCGCATTCGTAACGTAATAGTATCGAGCGCGTTCGGCACTCTGATTGGCCGGCTCAAGTGAATCAACCAATCAGAACGCTTAACTCGCTTGATACTGTTACGATACGAATGCGATAGTTATTCGTGCTTGGCCCTCAGATGGGTTTTATTTGTTATTGAGTTTTTGTCAGTTGTAGCATGAAGTCTGCATTTATTCTTGGAGACTAATAAGAATTTGGCTAAAGTTTTATGCTAACTTCTTCAATAACGTGTTTCTTGCCAAATGTACGATATTTTTTTCGAAAATACGCATTGTATTATATTCCTGCCCAGTGGAGACGAATGAATCTCAAGTATATTGTATATTCTTATATTAATTCTAATTATACCATATCATAGGTTTATATTAAATATTTATTGTGTTAACTAAACGAAGTAGGCAGCTATTTAATTATAGTGTTAGTTGTAAGTGGTATAATTTAAAATGTTTATTGAAATGTTGAAAATAAGTACTTATTTCGGGGTCCTACGACGCTCGATCGTGAAGTTGGGCTCCGATTAAGTTCGAAACTTGTCAGACGAGCTCGAAATCTGTAAGATACTAAAAAGCAGTATTTAAAATCAATAGTATTTTTTGACAAATTATGTCGATTTGAATTCTCGATTTTTAATAAACATTTTAATTTATAAAATTATTATTATTATTAAAAGACAGTTGTAAGACTGGTTTTATGAACATTTTTAAATATTTTTTACAAATAACGCAAGTGAATGAGGTTGTGCTTAGAACAATTATAAATGTGTGGGTGTCGCTGATATGACCAAAGAGCGCTTGGAATTTGTAGCCAATTGTAACATAATTAAGGTCTAAAATCGTTTGATAAGTAATTTTGGCAGCTTTTATCGTGCTAAAAAGCTAATTGCTGATTTTTATGAAAAATACGAATCTCTGTAAAGACTATCGGCTTCGATGTACTTTAAGAATATCCCGTGTAAATTATTTTGTATTTTTTTTAAGTGTATGCTTTCTATAAAGACCTATCAAATATATTTTTAACAATTTTGGGGATTAATAAAACCTTTTATAGTGAAATATGGATGTGTGTTGTCATATCACAGAAGACTATATCAGAGGTGGAGTTTTTGTCTTATAAATTGTTTTCAATAACCAATATTCGTGTCAATATCAATATCGACAATATCAATAGTCGTGGTGGCCCGGAGGTTTAAGACGCCCGCTTCTCAAGCATGAGGGTGCGGGTTCGAAACCTACCAACGGCAAGTACCAATGTGACTTTTTCCGAGTTATATGTACTTTCTAAGATTCTTCAGACACCACTGACAAACGGTGAAGGAAAACATCGTGAGGAAACCTGGGCTTATAATTTCTAATTATAAGTTTGTAATCGCCAAATCAATGAGCAAGCGTGGTGATTAATGCTCAAACCTTCTCCGTGTGAGAAGAGGCTTTGCTCAGCAGTGGGCATTTATAGGCTGTTGATGATGAACCAATATTCATGGGGTTGCTATGTTTTTATAATAACTATCGTGAGATATACTAAATTAACAAAAATCACGGGTTACTCACGTGAATATACAGAGAAAAGCTCTACTAGTTTTTAACCGGCGCTGATCATGAGGAAGAACCCCTCTGTGGTTCGAAACTGAGTTTTTGATCTGTCTGGGTCTAATAACTACGAGCTAGACCGTCAAGCAAAGAAATGGTGCTTACCGTGCAAAAATAGAATGAAATGGTTTGACTTTGACACCATCCATTCAATATCTTAAAGAAAAGAGCGTACTCCTTAAAAGGCCGGTTATGCACTTGTGACTCCTTTGGTGTTGCGGGTGGATCACGTTGATAGATCACGTTGATAGCTTCACATCATCAGCCTATCAGTAGCCATTGCTGACCATAGGCTTCTCGCACGGAGAAGGTTTAAGCATTAATACCGATTTCACTCTTATAATTAGAAATTATAAGCTCAGGTTTCCGCACGATGTTTTCCTTCACCGTTTGTCAGTGATGTCTAATTATTCTAAGAATTAGAAAGTTTCTGTTGGTAGGTTTCGAACCCGCACCCTCGTGCATGAGAAGCGGCCGGGCCACGACATCTTCCTTGATGATGTTGATAGCTTACCATCAGGTGATCCATCTCCTTGCTTCACCATAATTCAATAAACAATAGATTGTACCTTTATCATCATTGGTTATTGACATTCATTATATCAAAATTGTAAAAAACGCCTTGTGTTAAAGCAGCTATTGCTGTATATCAATGCTCAAAATGCAGCCTTTTTGTAAAATGCTTGTGCCTGCTTAGATTAACGAATTAATATTGAAATTATAGATAAATAGGCTAATAGGACATTTTTATTAATTTTATTGTGTATTTTTAAAGATAGAAGAATGATGTTATTGGCCAGTATGCTGATGGTCGGTTGTCAGTTTGTGAACTGTGACAGGATTAGAGAACGGATTCCTGTTCCTGCCTAACTACTATTACAAAAAAATGCCTAGTTAGGATAGTTTAATATCCTGAGCGCCGAACACGCTCGATACTATTTCGTTACGAATGCGTAGTTATTCGTGTTTGTGACACTGCCAAAATACCTGTTGATGACCAAGTAATTATGGAACTCGCCAAAGTAAAAATATGCTCAAAATGTGTTGTCAAGAATGTAGTTACAAAAGTTTACATTGATTATCTCCTATATCGCCCATCAGCATTTATAAAATTAATTTATTAAATTATAAAACCAAAAGGCTAACTTACATTGGTTATGTTTAAAAGACTCGGTTCAATGCACAAAATGAACGCCTATAGATGTAATTATGCACAATATCTTATTGTTGTAAAACAATTTGTACACTTTTTGTATTTTTAAATTATATAAAGTGAATTTTGTATATCTGCTTTTTATTTAAACCTTATACACAATTGAGTACCTCTTACTAATATGTGATTGATGAATCTAAACAGCGCTAGAAGTAGTAACCAATATTTTTGTACTGGTTTCAGGTAAATGGGCACTGTAGTGTCCTTCCTTCTTTGAAAGATATTGTTATTTGGCCTATTACAAGGTTCTAACATCCGATACATCTTGGCTAAATTACCAATCATCTTTTTCAATTCGTTTTCATCCACTGCTGGACACAGGCTTCTTCAATAGTACGCCTCTTTTCGATCACTATCACTCTTCATATCTAACCACTTTGTGTACTACTTTACTCCACCCAGCTGGAGAGCTCCCTACGCTACATTTATCTAGATAATCAACACAGTGTTCGTGTCTATCTTAGATCTTTATTGTAAAAATATTTTCATTGAAATAAAAATGTTATCTGTACAAACAAAGCAAGAAAGAACATAATTCATTGTTCAGGATTATACATTTCTGCGTACCGATTACTGCGTCATTTGATTTGTCATACAGATTTATTTTATCTTTTATGATAAATAAATTATAGGTATTTTATACTCGAGTGTTTCAGACAAAGACTCGCTACTTAGGTATAGGGTTTTCAGTCAGTCATTTCATTGGCTTATCAAATAGCTTGTTTGTTTGCAATCAGGTCGGATTTTTGCGTCATTTTTCAGTATGAAAACTAAAAGATACTATTTTTAGTATTCAATTATATTTAAAACGCCCCTGCGATAAGGTGTCATGTCTTTTTGTCTAGGAGTTGGATCTCAGTCATAAATAAACAATATATTATCAAAGTAACAAATTATTTTTATTTATAAAATAATAACAAAAATATATTATTAATTTCTATTTATCTTATGTTTAAACTATCACATGAATTTGGTAACTCGAACACATGCTAGGTATATTTTTTAATTTTGTTCATGATAAAATATCTGCTTACACACTTCCTTAAATGCTATAACGACAATTAGCTTTTCATAAAAATACTAGCTTTTATCCACGGCTTAGCCTGTTGTTTTCTATACTCCCAACAATATTTAAGCAACAAAAACATCAGTTGAGTAGATAAATCGTAAAGAGGTAACAAGCAAACTTACGGCCGAATACTGAAAGGCTACTAATTTTAAGTTGTAGGTACTTAAATATCATGCTATCTCTGTCATATTACAAAGAATTTGTAGTGATAGAGCGCGACTTAAAATTGAGTAGCGTTTGAGTATTTGGACAATACTTCTTTTTATAACTTGAGACTAAAATTAATGAAGCATATATAATGTTTACCTATTAAAATCATTATTGTTATAACTAGAAGCCATAGGTAGAACGCTATATGCTGCGGTCGATGTAGACATGTTTTGGACAAAATGGCACCTAGACTGTCGTTTAGGCAAACAGATAAATATCCACAAGGCTATAAGGCCTAAAGTCGCACACGCCGACACCACCGCAATGATGAAACCAGCATGTTTCTCGTTACAAAGGAAGTATTTTGGTTTCAAGTCGAAAATTCGTGCATTGAATAAATTCCGCGGTGTGGCGCATCTGGAAATAAAGAAAATATGTTTGTTTATTTACGTTTTACGCAAAAACTTAGTAAAAATATGTCAGTGCCGGCGTGAGGGCCACTGACACCCCGGGCGAAAATATTGTAGCGCCCACTTGAGGGAAGCAATATCAAGTGTTAGGTTTTTGCTGATCCCAAGTAAAATTATATTAGGAATTTCATCTTTCCTTCAGCGTTACCCAGAGCTAACGACGTGGACCACAATACCCTCAAAAATCCATCTAAAAAATATGCGTACTTATGCACAGAGCGTAGAGCACAGTTCTGAGGGTTTCGAGTTAAGGGCGCTCACACGCCCTTCCTGAGAACTGGGTGCTTTAAGATTGGCCTTGTCCACAATAAAATCTTGCAATATCTCGGAATCCAGAGGTCATTATAGCCACAAAATAACGAAAGTTTCGAACCCCGCGAGGTGACCACACCCCCATTAAAGACATATTTACTGATTAATAGACCGGGTCAGAATGACCTTGGGTGAGAGTGACCTTGAATGAAGCGGGTCCATTATGAAAATCGAGTATACGAACATCGGAACTTTCAGTGATAAATTGTCAATAGTGATTATGTAGGTAAGTCTGGACCCCACCTGCAATCTTAAAGAGGTATTAAATACCCTTTTTACCGACTTCAAAAAAAGGAGGAAGTACTATGTTCGGGTGATTGTTATTTATTTACAGAAATCTTGGACGCTCATGGTCACACAGACTGACTGATACATGTTTTTATTTGCCCATTTCAGTACATATTTTTCGTCCACGTGTAGTTATTATCTAAGTAGCTACATAAACAGCATCTAATTTAAATATTGTGATTTTCATCAGCCGGTAATCTATTTGCGTGTGATAATGTCGGTGACTCATATTTATACAATATAATACTTCTTAAGATCTCTCACAATAATGGCAAGGTCGACCTGCGCATAATCTAGTGCGCTACTGGATTTAATGACAAAACTATGCAGAGCTAATTCTATGTGCCATTGTTTGAAAAACTATAACATTATCGATTCCAAGGTTTTAGTAATTTTCCTGTTTCATTTGCTCAATGCTTCATATTTTCTTTTCTCCTTTGTATTCAAATCGCTTTGTAGCCACAGCAGATTGGTTTATTTATGGGCGGCTTTAGCAGGGTGTATTTGTATGGTGTGCCTGCATGCATTCTTTTCAGAACAGAAATCAATCATTTGCTTTTTCATATTAAATAAATCCTGTCTATATTCGCTAACTATCTGCTCGTTTGCCTCCTATTCCATACAAAATGTCGAAAACTAGAGGTCCTAACTAAATTTCGAACTTCCTAGAGATAAACCTACCCTCAGTAAAGATAAAGAGGGTCGGAGTGACCTTGACTGAAGTAGGCCCACTTATAAAACCTCCAAACGTACTGGTCGCTGCCAGAGAGTGGATTATATTATTAGTGCATACAAGTTAATGAAATCTCTGGCTGAACTAGAAGCCTAAGTTACAGTACCTACGTATCTTAAAAAAAGAGATAATATTCTTGCTAGATAAATGCAGATGCAAGTTAAGAATCAGATATCGCGCGTGTCTTTATTTACTTGCAATAAACCTCGGTGCATACGACGTGTCACGACTCACGAGCATTTCCTCAGCTGTTGATTATAGGTACATACCTAATCGAATTATGATTGCATCGTTATATTTAAGACACGGCTTGCATCACGTATAGTTTATCTGCATAATTGGAGAACTAGACTTACCTACGTGTAGTATGATTTGAGAATATCTATGATCTTAGAATTTAAACCACCAAGTGGTTTATCTTACCTTAAATGGTCGTTTAATTCTTCTGGTATTTGTAGCTGTTTCACCCAGACAATCTGACAGTCACATTTCCAGGGGTTACCCTGTAAATCTAATTCAGTCAGCACTCCGAACGGCGTCAACAAGGCGTCATCTAATTGGGATACTCTCGATCCTTTTAGTGATAATCTTTCTAAGCCAAAATTGTCAGCATCTACCAGAACTTCCCGCCCAAAAGCCAGCTTGCTGAACGTGGTAAGATTCCTGTTTCTTTCTAATTCTAGGGTTTTTAAAGCAGGTAGATATTGGAATGCAGACTCAGGAATGGTTTGTATCTGCAAATTGTTCAGTTTTAACACCTTCAATGCCACTAAGTTTGCAAAGTCTTCGCTAAATATGTCCGTGATAGGATTGTCTGACAGATCCAGGTATTCCAACGTCATCGGGATTTCAAACATTTGACTGATGTTGTTGTTCGATATTATCAGTTCTCGCATATCGTAAGCATCGACGAAGAAGTTGTTCGGTACTTGGTTCAGATGAATTCCACTTATGCTCAATGATTTGATCTTGTTTGTCAGTCCGAAACCACTTCTGTCGAATAAATTCGAGTTATTTAGTACAGGTCCCAAGTTGTTATTGTCTAGAATGATTTCATTGAGGTTGCTCAAGCGATGGAACATTAGTTTTGTGAATGTTGTGAATCTGTTGTTGGCAAGGTTTAAATATTCTAGTTTTTTGACTCCTTTGAAGGTGTCTTTGTCTATAAACTCTAGTTGATTGTTACTTAGATCTAATCTCTTGAGTTCTGGGAGTTGGAAGCTGTTGACATCGACTTGTGTGATTACATTGTCGTTTAGTATTAATTCTACTAGCGCGTTGGACGTTAGTAGAGGTGACGAATGGACAGTGGAAATGTTGATGAATGACAAATCCAGCGAGTGCACTAGATCGGGCAGCGTATAGTTGTTTTGTAGCACATTAACTTGTTTATGCGAACATACTACTTGCACACCTTCCAGTTCCTGTTCTTTGTCACTGTTGTATCGTTTACACAGACAGACATCACTATCACAGATGGTCGCACAGTTTATTTGTATTATTAGACCGAGTATTAATAAGTACACGAACATTTTGCCGCGTGTCTAGCCCAGGTACTGAGCGATAACTATGAACACTTATCGTCGCTAGATAATTTCTTATCGATGTTTTATTTGGTCATTTCACTTGCGACGCTATGAATAGTTTTATCACTTGATAGACGTGTACGACATAAATATATCAAATATATATTTTTAAAGTGAAAATTGCGCTGTTTTTGTGTATTTATGTCTGACCTACATTATGGACTGCGTAGTGAAATTGTTAGCTGTTGATGAGACAAAGAATTGTTATTGCGCGTCTTACGAATGCCATTTTCCTGTAGTAATGAATGTGTCACGTCTCCCTAACTATCCTTTGTCTTTCATTGGGCTATTTATAATAAAAACAAGAGTTATATTTTATGAATTTTATTTGTATTTTACACAAAAATTCTTGTTACAGTCATTATAACTACGTATTTATATAGAATATATTCTTAAAATATGTACTTAGGTATCTATTCGAGAAACAATACTTAATTATATAGGTATATATAAACACAAGAAGGAATAATCTTAGTCAATAATATAATGCATACTACGCAGCATACAACATACTCCTACCTCTATCTATATTATCATCTACGAATAGAACAAACATACATTTTACCCAGTGTTCGATTAAAGTTTTAAGACTAACGCCCAAATACTGAAAGTCTACTCAGTTTTAAATTGTGCTTAATATCGTGCCATCTCTGTCATTTTACAAAGAATTTGAAGTGACAGAACAATATAGTACTTAAGCGCGACTTAACTCGTTGAGTACCGTCATTATAGACACAATTAAAGAACAATAGGCTGCAGTCACCGGTGACCGCTCGGTGTTTGACAGTTTAATATTGAGTTGCGTTTGAGTATTTGGACATAAAACTGAAAGATCAACGACTTTACAAATTACCTAAGTAAAATTAAACTTACATATAAATGTTATTTGAATTCAAGTCATTTTGATTTTGACTTAAGTGCTATTTGCACTTGTTTCAGTTTCACTTCTAATTTTTTTATTGACATTCCATATTGCCTTCCTTGTTTAATACAGATGATGACAGGGTATGAAAATTAAAAATGTTATTAGTCCGTCAGTTAGGTAATGAAAAAACATTAGACACGTATTTTTTTATTTTGTTGTATAATAAAATGATACTTAGATAATAATATAACGAATCATAGTTTAGAAGTGGGGACTAAAACGTCATTTCTACGTATAAAATGTACATAGAAGTGACGTCACGTGACATTACAAATCAATATATATAATCGAAAGTATTCGTTTCCGTAAAAAAATAAATAAAAATACGTGTCTAAGTTTTTCAAATAATCTACCAGACCAAAATAAATGATTTTCACTTTGACTTTGCAGCGGCTCTGCCGGCTGTATCTCGGTGTCTTGCTTTCATCATGTTAATCAGTCCGTTCAATCTTGCCCTTTACCTTTCTTTCTAACTTTTAGATTCGGCGAATATTTCGGGCCAATTTTGATGGATTTTGGTGAACGTCGAAAGTTGGGTTTGACACAACTAGTTATGTTATTTGTCGTTTTACCACGTTGTAAGCCTTTTCTAAAATCTGCTGCGTGTAGCTTGCGTGCTGCCTTTCACGCTCGGATCCTCATGAGCCTGAAACATATATCAATATTAATAAGCCGGCCAAGTGCGATCCGGACTCACTGACGGAGAGTTTCCTGTCATTTATAAAAACGAGAAAATCTTTTTTTTGTTATTAAAAAAAAACGTTGCCTCATACTAGGATTTCCTCCTGTGTCGTGGGTGCGTTTACAAACACAAGTTCACATACACATGAATGACACCCAGACCCGGAACAACGACCTGTGGATCACACAAAGTGTTGTTCCGTGCGGGAATAGAACCCGCGACACGTTGCGCGGCAGTCAGTTGCCCAACCACCGCGCCAATCGTGCAGTCAAATAAATCTTGTTTATCGTTTATTTATCCTGCATTTTAGAACTTATGGAATAGTGGAAAATTCAATTGCTTATATATAGCCTAGTGATAGGCAGACCGACAGATTGAAATCGAAGTCTTAGTAACGGGGTCAAATTTACATAAATTAAACCATTTAATACAAGTTACGCATTTCATTCCCGAATGGTTAATCAGAAATTTGAATTAAATTTTTAGCTAGGTTGAACTTTATTTTGTCATAAATCCTTACCTTGATTACAATGGCAGTTCTCGGGCCAGTGTTCCACAGCTGATCGTTTTCATCGACGAAGGCAGCTTCAACTGCGACTGTATACAGTCCGGGCGTGGACACTGACACCAGTTGCTGGGCGGAGAAGAAGTCACGGACAGGTGTCACTGTCTGCACCGCAGTCAGAACTGGCGGGATGTTGTTCAGTTCTACAGTCTACGGACGAAATTGTGTTAAAGAAACAATATTTTAAAGATAGCAGTTATATTTTTATAATAACTATCGTGAGACATACTAAATTAACTAAAATCGCGTGTTACTCACGTGAATATACTGAGGAAGAATCCCTCTGTGGTTCCAAACTAGTAGAGGTTTTCTCAGTATATTCACGTGAGTAACCCGCGATTTTAGTTAATATAGCAGTTATAGATGTTAATATAATAAAATGTGATAAAGATGAAACTGGCATTCGTTTTAGAAAGTACAATTAAGATTTGGGGTTGGCCCTATTGCTATAAATTGGCCGCAATGAAAATTTTCATCCTCAAAAAATTGTTTCACTTGAAATTAAAGCCTAAACTGTCAGTTAAAACTTGTAATTGTTCAGTTAAAGTGTCTTTACAATTCGAGTAAAGCGTCATTTATTATTCGGCACTATTATTTACTATTAATGAAAACATAAGGGTGTCTACCTTCTCATTAGTGCGAGGATGTGGTGTCGCAGTCACCGTAATCTGAACTCCCTTCACTTGGCGCGGCTTCTGGCGTTTACTGGGGAATACAAATATTATGATTGACATTTTATGCGCAACGCAGCCGATTGACAGGGCCATCGCTGTGCATAAAGTTCATGATTATGAGCCCCGTTTGAGGCTTGAAACAAGTTGAGCACTTTCAAGTATTTTGTTGCATAATTCGTGTATGACCTTGAGCCTCCAGGCGGGGCTGAGGGACACGGTACTAGAGCTATATACCTGAGTGGTACAGGCGGCAGTACGACGCCCTCCAGTTTGAGTGCGAGTCGATGGCTGAGCGGTAGTGTGGCGGCGTGGTCGGGCGGCGTGGTGGAGGCGAGCCTCCAGGCGGGGCTGAGGGACACGGTACTATATACCTGAGTGGTACAGGCGGCAGTACGACGCCCTCCAGTTTGAGTGCGAGTCGATGGCTGAGCGGTAGTGTGGCGGCGTGGTCGGGCGGCGTGGTGGAGGCGAGCCTCCAGGCGGGGCTGAGGGACACGGTACTAGAGCTATATACCTGAGTGGTACAGGCGGCAGTACGACGCCCTCCAGTTTGAGTGCGAGTCGATGGCTGAGCGGTAGTGTGGCGGCGTGGTCGGGCGGCGTGGTGGAGGCGAGCCTCCAGGCGGGGCTGAGCGACACGCGGCAGTGTGCGCCCCCCGCGCGCCCCGCACACACGCCCCGCGGCCACACCGCGCCCCCGCTACACGCCGCTACTGCGGCTAGGACTGCTTCCATGTGCTAGATAGAAAATATAATATCTTGAAACACCGCTGCGGTCCACAGGAGAGAAAAATATAGTCGTCTCGTCAGTACATATTGGGCCATGTGTCCCAACGTACATACATACGTACATATTGGGACGTATGCATGAAGACTGGGCAGGGCCGTCTTAGACTACGCTGGGGCCCTTGGGCACACAATAATTCGGGGCCGGTTTAGAATGTTATTTTGTTTTTAACGTTACACTCGCCAGGATTTTCTTCTGTATTGTGGGTGCATTTACAAACACTATGCCCCCTGAGGATGGGGGCCCTGGACACGAGCCCCGAGTGCCTTATGGTAAAACCGATATTGAACGTATGCGTATCAACCGTTATCAGCCAGGTGACTAAAGTGTTGTGCGCAATAAACCGTACGGTTTTGACTTTCAGCTCGATTTGTGCAGGCATATGATTGTGAATTTGTGAATAGGCATATAACCCAACATTTAATTACATGTTATTTTTAATGTTGAATAAACAAAATATACGGTTATCATCGGCTAGCCATTAGAAAAGCAGGACCGTTTTGGGAACCGGCGGCTGAACAATTAGCCGGATTGTCAATGCGAAACGTTCTATAATACAATATGGCGACCTACGTTTTTCCGCATTGTAGTTATCCTTACTTCCTTACTAATATTATAAATCGAAAAGTGAGTTTGTGTGGTTGTTTGTTTGTTCTACAATACAAAAATAGGGTGATGCTGAGAAGTATTACAGTAGGTTATAAACGAAGTTTGTATCTATTGAAAAACAATACTCAACAATTAGCAAGTAAATTGTACGCTGTTGTTTCAACACTCGATAGATGGCATTAGGATCGAGTTAGATGGCGCTATGGTTTCGTTACCGGCGAAAGTATAGATTCCGCTTCGAGCTTCAGTTACAATTTCATTTTAGCACTGTGATTGATGTTTTTTCGTTCGCTCAATAATAGGTTTCATTAGTCAAGTGTCTTTATTTTTCTAGGTAACTACCTGTATATAACTAGATGTATATTAGTTAGGTGAAGTCTTTCAATTGAAATGGGAGGATGGTATTTGTGGTAAAGCGAAAATAACTCCTTCTGTCTGTTGTTCTTTCACGCCTAAACGGCTAAACTGATTTTGAAGAAATTTGGTATGAAGGTAGTTTGAGTCCTGGAAAAGCAAGGCTTTACAGCGGCAGAACTTCTCATTCCCACAAAAAAATCTAAAAAGCGCGATATAACCGAATTGAACGCGAGCGGAAAGCTTTTTTTATGGAATAGGAGGCAAGCGAGCAGACGGATCACCTGATGGTAAGCAATCAGCGCCGTCCATGGACACCCGCCACACCAGAGGAGTAACAGGTGCGTTGCCGGCCTTTTAAAAAGGAATACGCTCTTTTTTTGAAAGTTTGAAGGTCGTATCGGTTCGGAAATACCGCTGACGACAGATAATTTCACAGTTTTGCTGTGCGAGGCAGAAAGCTACGTGAGAAGCGCACAGTTGTGGCCTGCCAACCATCTATATGGTGGGGATGTATATACTGTCGTGAGGGTCGATGGCGAAAAGATGCGGCAGGTATCAGGTCAAACAATTTCTCAGAGCACTCGTGGTATAAGCGATAGAAAATGTACAACGAAGGTACATCTTTACGCATTGCCAAAGTGTCTAGCCGGTTTGAAACATCCCGACATCCTAAAATCCAAACGGCACGCTGCTGAACGCGGTCCAGAGGAAGAAACTAGTGCCCCAGCCCAAAGATGAGAACAGTATTCCATGTAGGGCCGAACCTACGCCTTATATAGAAGCAGACGGTGGGCCGGGGTGAAATACTGCCTCGATCTATTGAGCACACTAAGCTTCCTCGAGGCTAATTTGATAGATTGATGACCGCGAAAATGGACGCCGCTCGAAATGCTGACACCAAGTATTCCAATAGCGGCTGAGGCAGTTAGGGGAGTGCTTTGAAACTGAGGAGAGACGACCAACGGCAGTTTCTTAGCGGTAAACACGCAGACCTGTGTCTTATGTCGGAATACTGAAACGCCACTCAATTTTGAGTCGCGCTTAAGTATAGTTCTATCTCTACAAATTCTTTGTAAAATGACAGAGATGGCACGATATTTGAGCACGACTTAAAATTGAGTAACGTTTCAGTATTCCGACATTAGTGGGGTTAAACTGTACCACCACCCCGATCAGAGATTTCAGACACGTGTCTGTTTCGGCTCTCTATGACGTTAATCTTAGGGAAGTTTACTCTTTGTTCCCTAAAAAGGGGTAATAAGAAAAAATTGCATTGCTTGCATTTTTTGCAACGGCAGTAAGCAAGTGCACAAAGTTGCGAGTAAAAACTAGCGCGAATAACTGAAAGATCCTTTCTTCGATCAATGGGAAACCATAATTAAGAAGTAATAAAGGTAGAAAAGTTACAACGATTTCAGACTTTACTATTCTTCAGCACCATCTAGTAGGAAGCAAAAAGGTATCTCTTATAAGTAACCTAACAAGTGACATATTACGGCTCATAATGGTAACAAATTTATCAATATAGACTTACCCTGTGCGTAATTCCTGGACCAGTGGTGGGATTATCGAAGAGTTTGCTGGAGATCTCAGCAAGTTGAGTACTGGCAGACAGAGCTATCTTCTCCTCCAGGGTAGTGGGCTTCAGGTCCACGTTGTCCAGCTCTGGAGGACGCTCCTGACTGTTGGAGGTCACTCGCTCCAAGAATTGAGCTAGTTGGCTGTATGTGTGCTGAGAACTGGTGTTCTTTGTTCAGGAATGCTTACTAAAATAATTTGGCTGCTTTCAAGAGTTTGAAGAATGTTAAAATATGAAATAAAAAATCGTTTCAGTTAAAAAAATATTTTAGTAGGTACAATACGCACCATAATCCCATCTGAACCTGTGTTAGCAATACGTAACGACACAAAAAACTAAAAGCTCTTATTAAAACCCTTCACGCGTTTAAGTGTTTCTTTTTCGAATTTAAGAAACGCTTACCGTTTATCAATTTGTATGTATGTTTTTATGCTTGATCGCGGATAACTTCGCTGTTTATGAACCGATTTTCCTGATTATTTTTGTACAGAAAAGGATACATTTGCAGATGCCGTAGCGTAGAATCATCAGCATGGAATGCGGTGCGCGCTATGGCGGAGTACTTGTGTGCGACCTGCCACACTGCGCGCGCCGCCTTGCGGACCGCGGGGGCGAAGGCCCCGGCCTTCAGGGCAGGGTCGCGGCTAGTCTATGGGGGATGAAGGCAAGGGTAAACATATATGGGAGTTTAGAAATAGTCCAATTGTTTTTCTTCTGGTTTTGAAGGTTAGGTGCATGTTGCGCAATGAAAAACTTTGTGTGCGCAACTTTGCGCAAAGTTTGCGCTTGAATTAGTTTGAAATTTTAATGAAATTGGATGTATAAATTGATAAGTATTATTATAGAACCCAAAAGAACCCTGTATAGGACACAAAAGAATTTGGTTATAATGCTTAATAAGGCATGTGTAGGCAATGTGTTGTCAGTACTGTGTAGTAGATTAGGTATATTATACATTTAAAAGTCTACTTCCATCTACCTGTTTTGGCTATTAATATTTATATATATAATTCTTCTGTGAGTGTGTATGTCACTGAACTAAACGACTGGACTTATTTTGATGAAATTTTGTGTGTGTTCAAGGGGATCTGGGAATGGTTTAGATTCACAAATCAGCCCGACAGATGGCGCTGCAGTTGGTATCTAGGTTATTTATTTATACCTGTTATTATAGTATTATTATTATATTATATGCAGTACAACGTCTGTCGGGGCGCTAGTTAAAGTATACAATGATCCCGCCGTACCTGCGAGAAGGCGTGTGCGATGGCGGGCGGCGGCTGCGTGCAGAGCGTCCTGGCGGCGTGCGCGGCGCGCGCCAGTGCGGCCAGCGCGGCGGCGCGCGCGCGCATCCACGCGGCCGGCAGCGCACTGCACGCGCCGCACCCCGCACCCCCCGCCGCACCCGCCCGCGCCCGCGCCGCCCGCCCCGCCCGCCCCGCCCCACCCGCTGCACACTTCCCAACCCGAACTAGCTTCTTCTAGACCGGCTATACCTGGCAGGGATTTTGAAACTCGTACATTGGAAGTATGAACAACTGGCTGATGTGAAACTCTTGTTGATAATATAATGAGGTATGGGTGAAATAACTAAGTCTGAAAATGAAAGTAAATTAACTCGAGTCGGCCTTTTTGTTCCGAAGCAAAACTCTCCCATACTTAAAAATAAATATATCAACCGACTACAGTCTAACAAAATAAACTACACGAACCTTCCTCAACCAGCTTGGCATCAGCGAGTGCAGCGCGATGTAGTGCAGTGAGCCAACGTTGTGCTGGCTCACTCGGGGCTTCTAGCGAGAGACGCGCCAGGATACCTCCTGCTAGGCGGTGGTGTCCATATCTGTGCGAAGATAATAATTAATTAAAGTTAAAAATTTACATACACTTGCCCTGACCCAACTCATCAATTTATGTTGCGCAAAAGTTTGCGCAAGTCATATAGGTTGCGCAAACTTAAATTAAGTTTTTATTAAACGTAAGAACAAATATCATCAAAATAATTTAAGCATATAGCAAAAACTTCGAACTTCAACGTTAAACGCAGACACAAATCTAAAACATTCTCACAAAAAATTACATCAGCATAAACCATTTAACTAATTATATTCTAAATCAACATGGCGCCAACTAACCTGAGTGCGGCCCTGGCGACCCTATACCGCACCCATCCGTCGGCGCCCTGTACGACGGCCAGCAGCCGGCCCTGCCAGGCGGGCGCCAGCCTCTGAGTCAGCGCCCTGCCCGCGCGCTCCTGCAGGAGGACTGTACACAGTAACACGAGCGTCGTGCCGTCGTCGGGAGGATTCTCGATTGTGTTGTCTCTGGAAGAAATTACAATCGGTTAGACAATTTTGAAATGTGTGAAATAAGCAATGCATAATTAAATATTAAATTGATAATACGGTCCCTAAACTATTAAAAACATTTTAATATTTAAATACATACAGAAAAAACTAAATAAGCTTGTAAAAACGGTAGGAATTTTTAATTCACTGACGGTCATTGAATTTTTGATTTCACCCTCATTGCTAAGTTATAGTTTGACACATTCACTGTTATTTGTGTCATTCATAACAGCACAAAACTTTACAATATTACTATTCATTCTAAGGAGCCAAGATAACAAAGCTCGATCACAATAAGGTATCGTACCGCTGCATCTGCTGGAGTGTATGATGCAGGGCCGGCATGGCGGGCCCCAGATGCGCGGGCGCGTGCGGGGCGCCGGCCAGCGCGGCCAGCGCCTCCAGCAGCGCGGGGGCGCGCGGGCCGCCCGCGCCCGCCAGCGCGCGCCCCACCACCGCCGCCGTGCGCGCCGCGTACACGGACGGCTCGGCGCGACTCAGCTGCACCTGAATATAGGGAACATATCTTTATTTTCGCATTCGTATGAAATATATTCGGAATTTGTTCAAATAAAAATACAAAAAAGACTGTCGAAGACTGCAAATATCTCATTAAAATTCTCAACTCAATGAAACTCATTGCTCTCTAAATTCGGTGTTTTAGACAACAATGAGATTCTTGAAAACAAAAACAAGTTTAAAAACGAGAATGTTGGCAATGAATTTGGCTTAATACTGTATTAAAGTGTATAACTTACCAAGCACCGCAGTGCAACTCTGAGCGCCTTGATGTTACTCGGACTATTATTCTCTCCGGTAGCAATGACCAAGGTTTCTAGCGCTAGCATCAAGTCTCCTCCTTCTACTGGCAGATTTTCTTCATAGCTAAAGCATAATTTTGTTAATAAATAACCTTATATATCTTGAGGTATGTATAATTAGTAAGTATAAGATAACTTGACATTAAAACTCAAAATAGTACATACCAGTGCACGATAAGTCTAGTAAGTACATCAGCGGCAGTGGCGGCGCGAGTGAGGTCGGCCGACAGCGCGGCCTCGCTGCAGTACCGGCGCAGCGCCCCGCAGCCCTCCGCCGGGGACCCTGCGCCCGCGCATACCGCGGGGCACGACACTAGCTTCTGGAATACGAAGTCGGTTTATCAGTGCTTGTAGGATGTAGTTTTGTATACTACTATCGGTAGCAACACCGCTCATGGTCATGCCATTACAATTGTATCATAGATACGATGCAGACCATGTAGGAGAAGTTTTAAAAGAAGTTTCAAAGAGTAACAAAACTTTTTGAGAGTATTTTGACCATTTTTTAAGTCCATGGCAACATTTAAGTGTGGGAGAGCCATGCTTCGACACGAATGGGCCGGCTCGACCGGGTTGATACCACGGCCTCACAGGAAACCGACGTGAAACAACGCTTGCGTTGTGTTTTGTCGTGTGGTGGTTACCGGAGGCCCAATTACCCTCCCCTTCCCCAATCTCTGAATCCCCAACGATCCTCAAACTCCTAATCCTCAAATGGTCGGTAACGCACTTGTAACGCCTCTGGTGTGCCAGGTATCCATGGGCGACGCCGATTGCTTATCATCAGTTGATCCGTCTGCTCGTTCACTGGCTTATGCCATAAAAAAAAACCGTGTTCCATCAGACCATAAAGTTGTTTGCTACGTCAGTAGCTCAGTTCTTTCTTTTTTAAAAAGACTGCATGCCACTTTTTCAACAAGTAATTGAACAGACCTGCATAACTTGCAGACACAGCATGGTGTGCTCCATCTCCTGTGCGTCGGTGGCGGCGCGCACCAGTTTCTCGACGCAGTCGGCCGGCCACAGCGCCGCGTGCTCCGCCAGCTTGCGGAGCCCCAGCAGGGCCGCGCGGCGCACTGACGAGCGAGCGTCGTTCGCGGATAGGCTGAGGAGGAGTTCCACCTAGAGAGACGGAAAAAAATAAATGGTCTTACATCAAAAATTATTGTACAACTTTTTTTACCATAAATCTATTAAAGTTTGATAGATTGGGTGTGGTGTTTTCGTTATACCGTAGTATATCTGCAGTTTGAGATTACTACACTTATTTATTTCATTAATCATTTGGTTTTTTAGAAACATTGATTAGTAAGTATTAATTAGTGCATGAAACAGTCAGTCTAAGAAAAAATCCTTAACAAAAAATAGTATAAACTAATTAAAAATTTCAGGCATAAACTTACTTGATCAGGGACATGAACGACGGTGTCCGCTGCAATATGCGTGAGTGCAGTTATAGCGGCGCGCACAGAACTAGAAGATGGGAACCTCTCCAGCAGGGAACGGAGCAGCTTCAGGACTCCTTGAGCTCTCACAGCTTGAGAATGAAAAATGGATTGTTTTAATCAGTATTTCACACTATTAAATGTAACCTTTACAAATCTATTATACAAACTAGTCACATCCATTGTCCAGTAAGATTTCACAGTTCATTTTCAATGTTTTAATTGAATTGGTTGTTTTTCTAACTTTTTAAAAGATTGAACATAAACATTATAGCAGAATATAATTTAATATTTCTGAAACACCTTACCTCCTCCATGCACTGTCCGGAGAGCTCTCACCAGCTTAGCTCTGCGCTCCGCCGCAGTGCTCTCACAGTCCACCATATCCCACAGCTTATTGCACATGGCTACTGCAAATGCACTGAAAAAAGCATAATTATTATTACAAAAAATAGGATTCAACCTGAAATCAACACACAGTTTTTGGAATAAAGTGGTTTTTCCATTACATTTCTTCAGGTAGTAACTTGCTATTGAGATTCAGATAAGCAATACATTTCATCGATTCATTTACATGTAAATATAGCAATGGGCGTTCTATAGTCTCTGTCTACTCCCATGGGAGACAGGCGTAAAGTTATGTGTGTAAATATAGTATGTTTGCAAAGATGTCCATATCTTAAGCAAGGTAATAAAGAGATGACTAGTTCAAGACAAGTTCTTACTTGGAATGCTCAGCAAATCTAGTAGTAGCATAAATCGCAGCATCAACTTCCACATTGTCGTGGCTGTCCAGGCCTCTACGTATAGCGTGGTGAACATTCTGCCTCTCTGGTATGATCCCAGCCACTGCACCAAGGGTCCTTAGAGCCAGAGCCCTGGCCACCGGGTCATTTGAATGTAACACACTAAAAACCCTCCTTAGAAATTCATCCACGTTCAGAATCTTGTCCAAATGCTTCTCGCTTTGTTGACAGACACGTAGCACCCACAGACGAAGGAAATTATTTCCCATACGAAACACATCAGCAAGTTTCAAGAATGAAGAGTTTATGAGTATAGGGAATGGATATTTTTCGAATAAACGCGGGAAACGGACGATAGCTTCACATTGCTCGCCCACTTTACCTGATCGAAGACCTAAAAATAGTATAATTTCGTTAGTTTTTCTATGTATTGAAGTAGGCAAGTACAATATAAGGTTAAGTTTTACCTTTATCTAATTCAGTTAATGCAGAGTTAGCATCTTGTTCTGGTTCACCAGAACTATCATTAAAAGAGTTTAGGCGCACACCGATCATTGTGTGTTTATTATTTTCGTTAAGTTCAATACAAATTACCAAACAAGTTCAGTTCGTCAATGACACAAACACAAATCCAGATGAACTTTCGTTTGACATTCACAATCATGACATTTATGACATTTGAAGTATACGTTCAGAAACGGTGTAATGATTTTATTTAGTTGTCCAGAAATAATTTTATTTATATTTACACTGCATACTAGAAATTATGTAAATAGATTATTTTTATTAATGAAATAGGCAAAATGCCCATAAAATGTTCCATTGGTAACCAACAGTGCCACCTCTTGAAAAAACTGTAACTAATACAAATATGGTTAGAGTAGACTTCACATAGATGGCGCTACTAGTATAAATTTTCTAGAAAAAGATGCAGGTAAAATTTTTGAAAAAATCTTCTTCATCATCAGCATTATCATAAGCCCATGTTCTTT